AGCCACACTTGGGGTACCTTAAACTCTAAGCAGAGCTTCAGTGTTAAACTATGTGCAGTATTCAACTGAAAATAATTGTCTGAACTCTTATACTAACAAAAGTTTAATTATTTGAGAAATTACTGAGCTTTTTAAAAAATTGCAGTAATGGCAAAGTCATAATCTCAATAAATAATTCGTGATTTCTGCGTTTTTTTGGGAAATCAGACAAATCAATTTTTTGAGCATGAAAGAATTAGATCACCAAAACTCCTCATTAGGTTGGTATAATGGACAAAACTAACCCAACTCTCATGAATAACAGTTTCAAACTCGCAAAAGTGATGATACTTATTCACTGAAAATGTTCCTTAAAATAAACAGTCTTAAATAATATTTAAATTAAATAATAGACAAAACTAACCCAATTGTCATGAATAACTGTTTCAAACTCGCCAAAGTAATGATACTTATTCACTGAAAATGTTCGTTAAAATAAACAGTCTTAAATAATATTTAAATAAAATTCATTTTAAAGATAAGCTAAGGTAAAACTAGTTCGCGAAATTTGTAAAGGTAAAAAAAATAGGATAAGCTATATTAACTATCAAACTAAAAAGAGTTGATCTCTTATACTAATAAAATATTTAAGGAATTATTAATATTTTTAAAAAATTGCAATTATAGTGAGGTCCCCCTCCCTAAATAAAACTTTTTGAAACCAATAAATAGTTCTCAATTTATGCATATTTTTAAGATTCAGACAAATTCATTTTTCAAACATAAAAACCATTAGATCGCTAAAACTATTCATTAGTAAAATAAAAATTGATAATACTTATTCACTGAAAATGTTCCTTAAAATAAGCAGTCTTAAATAATATTTAAATAAAATTAATTTAAATTAAAGATAAGCTAAAGAAAAACTGGCTCACGAAATATGTAAAGGTAAAAAAAATAAGATAAACTATTTTAACTATCAAACTAAAAAGAATTGAACTTTATACTAATTAAATTCTTAAATATTTAAGAAATTATTTATGTTTTTAAAAAATTGCAATTATTATAAGGTCCCCCCCCTAAATGAAACTTTTTGAAACCAATAAATATTTCTCAATTTATGCATATTTTTAAGATTCAGACAAATCCAGTTTTCAAACATAAAAACCATTAGATCGCTAAAACTATTCATTAGTAAGTAAAAAGTGATAATACTTATTCACTGAAAATGTTCCTTAAAATGAGCAGTCTTAAATAATATTTAAATAAAATTCATTTAAATTAAAGATAAGCTAAAGTAAAACTGGCTCGCGAAATATGTAAAGGTAAAAAAAATAGGATAAACTATTTTAACTATCAAACTAAAAAGAATTGAACCTTATACTAATAAAATTCTTAAATATTTAAGAAATTATTAATATTTTTAAAAAATTGCAATGATGGTAAGGTCCCCCCCCCCTAAAATAAAATTTTTTGAAACCAATAAATAGTTCTCAATTTATGCATATTTTTAAGATTCAGACAAATCCATTTTTCTAACATAAAAACCATTAAATCGCTAAAACTATTCATTAGTAAGTAAAAAGTGATAATACTTATTCACTGAAAATGTTCCTTAAAATAAGCAGTCTTAAATAATATTTAAATAAAATTAATTTAAATTAAAGATAAGCTAAAGAGAAACTGGCTCGCGAAATATGTAAAGGTAAAAAAAATAGGATAAACTATTTTAACTATCAAACTAAAAAGAATTGAACTTTATACTAATTAAATTCTTAAATATTTAAGAAATTATTAATATTTTTAAAAATTTGCAATTATGGTAAGGTCCCCCCCCCCCTAAATAAAACTTTTTGAAACCAATAAACAGTTCTCAATTTATGCATATTTTTAAGATTCAGACAAATCCATTTTTCAAACATAAAAACCATTAGATCGCTAAAACTATTCATTAGTAAGTAAAAAGTGATAATACTTATTCACTGAAAATGTTCCTTAAAATAAGCAGTCTTAAATAATATTTAAATAAAATTCATTTAAATTAAAGATAAGCTAAAGTAAAACTAGCTCGCGAAATATGTAAAGGTAAAAAAAATAGGATAAGCTATATTAACTATCAAACTAAAAAGAATTGAACTTGATACTAATAAAATTCTTAAATATTTAAGAAATTATTAATATTTTTAAAAAATTGCAATTATGGTAAGGCCCCACCCCCCTAAATAAAAATTTTTGAAATCAATAAATAGTTCTCAATTTATGCATATTTTTAAAATTCAGACAAATCCATTTTTCAAACATAAAAAAAATTAGATCGCTAAAACTATTCATTAGTAAGTTAGATTCATTCATAAGTCAGATCATTAGTAGTTATAATTATTAGCTAAAAATGTATCTTAAAAAGAACAGCCTTAAAGAATATTTTATTACAATCTATTTAAATTAATAAAAAGTTAAAACAAAACTAGTTTGTGAAATTTACATTAGAAAAAAGCAGGATATTTAAGAGGGAGGTGACGAAAAAATCTAATCCTGTCATTCAAAACCCAATGTCTTCCATATGGTAAAGGGACGAACGAAGGACGTCTCCAAGACAGAAGTCCAAGAAAAAAAAGTGAAGAAATAATATCTATGAACGACCACCATATGATACAAACAATTTTGTATTGTCAGTTCTTTAGAATGCGGAAATAAGGCTCCTATAAAAAGAAAATTGTTTTATTAATAAACTTGAAATATAACAGACGCATTTGAAAAAAAAATCGAAGGTAAAATGGGAAATTAAATAAGTTAAAATTTATTGAAGTGATTTTTTATGGTTTAACATTTTGCTTTGCAATAAATCCTGCAATCGTTAGGAAATTAGTTTTGTTATATCTGTCTTCCAGTATTTTATAAATATAAAATTTATATCAAAATATTCGTGAGTATTGAAAAATGAAAAACAATAGTGAAAAATTTTCTTCGTTTGTTATTAATTTTTAGCTGATGTTTTTGTAACTGGAGTGATAGCCAAATTGAGAAATTCACTAATCATAAATATAAATTGACTACCACTTCTTAAATTTACTATTATTTACTACCATACTTAATAATTTTACAAATTTTCTTCATAATTTCATAAATTTATTTCATGAATATGTTACCACTTCCTAATCACAAATTTACTACCACATCACAAATATCATGTTTCTGAAATTTAAAAAAAGTTATTGCTATGTCATAACGCTATACCAGCAAACTTCTTCGGTTTTCGTCTGAAAAAATTAGATTTTTATACTTTATGTCGCAGCAAATTTTATGCTTTGATATTTTAGTCTCGATTTTGCTTGGAAAAACTGACCCAGTTTGAAAGATAATGCTTGAAGCTTTTATAAATGGGGTCCTTTTTACCCGGGTTTAAATTTTCTTCGAGGAAGCTTTTTCTTTCTCAATTTCATAATAAATAAAAATCACATTTTAATATATATAAACATTGCAGTCCTAGAGAATGTTTTCAAGGCTGCTTGCATTAAAGTCAGTAAGACGTCTATTAAGACGTCCAGTCTATTAAGACGTAAGACGTCCAGTATTCGCTCCTCATTTTAGCCGATCCGAATTTTGCATTGGTCATGACATCATTTCTAAAAGCATCAAGCGCGATCGTTCAAATGGTGGGTCCCGCAGTAGACTGATCGTTAAGACACTGTTTCCAGCAGATCACCGAAGTCAAGCATCACTGGCTGCGGTCAGTGTGCGGGTGGGTGACCACTTGGATCGGGTTGCGTAGGGACCGAGGGTGTGCGGTATTGGTCCTCGTTAAACTGTTCTACCGTAAAGTGCTCGACTTCGAGTGCAGGCTGTCGGGCTACCGAAGCGGGGGTGCCATCCCCTCTGCAGAGGATCAAAATCGTGATGGCATGTCTCCGGATCATCCTCAGGGAAGTTTCCCAGACCCTCGCCAATAGCCCAATGTGCAGCTCTAGTGCGACGTAAATGAACTACTACTACTTCAAATGGTGACAAGAGCTTAGCCATGCAAAATCTTCCAACAAAATTTGCTGTTAATCACAAAAAGCATTTTGACTAATAAGTTTATAAACTTTTTGTTGACTTTTTAACTCTGTTTTATCCTTCATAGCAAATTTTGAAAAATAACATTCCGCTTTGTATCATATTTTCTTATAACTAATATCGTGCGTTCATAATGTTTTTTGCGAGCATAATATCTTTTGTAAGCAATTTATAAGAATTCAAAATTTTCTTCTTCTTTATTATCATACGAGTAATATACATTTTTATCTGTTATTTTCGAAAGATGTTTAATTTCAAAATAATCATATTCAGTCATTTTTAATACTTTTGTAAAGTTAAAAATACTGAATTTAAAATTGCTAAATTTAAAAGTGACTTTTAATTAAGTATTGCAAAATTATTTAAATGAAGAATTTAAAAAAAAAATGCATTCAAAATTATTGCAACTAAATTACAGTAAATCAATCGCTCAAATGTAAAAGCCGCATTTTTTAGAAATTATTACAGCTTTGTCTTTCAAATTTTTAATCTCTCAAGTCACGTTGTAAACAGGTTGGTTTTGTATTCTCCAAAATTTCCAATATTACCCAAAATTGTGGGTCTTTTCCCAAAAAGGTACATACTTTTCCGCATCATTTATAATAAAGTGTTTTCCGCATCATTTACAATTTCCAATATTACCCAAAATTCTGCATCATTTATAATAAAGTGTTGGTTTTTTGCAACACAAGTATAAGGTAACGAAAATAATTTTAAAAAATTCTATTTATTTCGATTTTAAGAAATTAAATATTTTAATAATTTATAAATTAATTATTCATTTTTATTACCATACAAAAGCAAAATGGATGCATGAGAACATAGTGTTCCCATTGGACAGGACAATGCCCTATAGTACACTATTGGTGGGTTAGACATCTTGAAGTAGTTGTGAGTGTAAAGAGGGTGAAGGGGTAAAAAAGAAAGAAACTGGAAGATGCTGACGGACGACAGAAATCATCCTTCACAACATCAAATGACCTCCCTCACCAAGCATTGGACGCATCAAATTTCAAAAGAAGACACATTGCGTGGGTGCACCCTTTTCCCCAACGCGTTCGTAAACTCTCTTTTAAACACACGCTCTTCTGCAGTACTAAGATAAACCATCCAAAAAGCATGCAAAGATCACATTGTTGACTTTCATGGGTTTATCTTGATTTGGATAAGCCCTTTATTATCATTTAAATGGGTGCAATTAAAGAACAAACTTTTTTGCTATGTGTTTTATGGACTATTCTGATTATTGGAAACAATGCACAATATTACGATGAAATAGATGATATCGGTGAGTACGAAAATTAAATTTATAACGTTCAAAACTTTATTTGTAAATATTCATAATATTTACCATTTAAAAATTGAGGTTTTTGTAAAAAAAATTTTTTAGAGGTAGTGAACAAATGAGGAAAGTTTTAAATTAATTAGAAATTTTACAGAACTTTTGCCAATACTTAACAACGGGATCATGTGCCAATCTGACATTTTATACATCTGTTTAGACTATTAATAAATTGCGAAAGACAAAATTATTTTTACCCATAAACGACCAAAATCTTCGTACTCAGTGAATAAAGACATTTGTGTGGATCAAAATATATTTATAATAAACCAATAAAAATAATAATAGTTATATTTTCATCGGAACTTATGCACTTGCAATATTTCTTAAGACTAAAGCGGTAGTCTACTTAGAAATTATCTTCTTAACATAAACTCTAATTCCTAAATTTTTTTTTCAAAGCAAAAATACTTTCTGCATTACTACTTACTACATATTAAATAATCCCAAGAAACTAAGCGGCATAACCTTAAAAACTTCATTCGCATAAAAAATATATAAATAGGAAATAACAGTCGACATGTTTCAAGCGCTCAAAAACAGACGCTCGTTTTCCAGACTTGCCCGACGTGAATGTGGACATAGTGTAGCGCATAAGCATGTTGACTGTTATTTCCAATTTATATATTATTGAACCGATTGAAGGTTTTAATCAGGTAATCACTACTTACTATTGTGCAAACACAACATTAGCGGAAACTGGTTAACCTATTAATACTCAGTAACAAGTAATATTCTACATAAAAGATACTCGATTACAAAAATGTGGTAATACATATTTGTTTATACTAAGCTGATATTTCTTTCTATTATCTGTAATTTCAGCTTTAAGAGAGCATCGTATGGTAGAATGCAATAAACGAATAAATTTAAATTAAACGAATAAATTTAAATACTAAAGCAATATTAAGGTAGACAGAATATTGTGGTTGTTAGAACTATCAATTTCTTCTAAATAAATCCTTACAAGGGAACACTTGTAGTTAGTGAAAAAAAAACCGAATCACCCTAAATAAAAATAAATTTTAATAAATATTTATTATTTTTTATTATTTCATATAATAACCGTCGAAAGAATTTTGAATTGTAAAATATACAATTTTTATATCATTTTAAAGTATGTAATTTTACGTGACAAAACACAAAATTTGAGCAAAATCGGTCGAATAGTTCCTGAGAAATCGAATTTTAAGAAAGGTGTAATTTTAAAATTTGATTTCTCCGGAACTATTCAAATGATTTCGATCAAATTTTGTATTTTTTCCTGTAAAATTACATACTTTGAAATGATGTAAAAATTGTATACCTTACAATTCCAAATTTTTTTCGATTATTATTTTTAAAAAATAATAAAAAATAATACATATTTATTAAAATTTATTTTTTGTATAGAATTATCTTTGAACAAACGAATTTTATAATTGTATCCAAAAATTTCTCAACTCGCTTAAAAAGTTCTCGAAGTATGACGAAATTTGCAAAAAGTGAAATTAATATTAAAGGGTCCAAACTTTGGATCACTCTCCTGATCAAACTATGGGGACCATATTTCCCAGATTAAGGCTAACTCCCTACAATTTGAAGATTGAAAATCCAAATATGCAAGAAAAAATATATGTGTATTCAGAGAAAGTACGTTTTTGTGCCCGATTTCGTTACTTATTCAATAGTTAGCACTAAACAATTAGCATACTTGAGATCACCCCCTTGAAACATTAAGATTGAGAACGTGAAAGTTCGATCATTAGATCAAAAGTTATTCAGGGTGATCCATTTTTTTTTTCTTTTCTTTTTTTGTACTTGGTAATACTAGAGTGCCTGTATTGAAAAGAGTGATGACAATATCCAAGAGCGCATGCGCTGCCGTCAGATTTTTGTCCAAGGGGGTTGCCAGATGATACACCGAANTATTCAGGGTGATCCATTTTTTTTCCTTTTCTTTTTTTGTACTTGGTAATACCACTCATTCTTTCTTTAAAGAAAACTGCAATTTGAGCCAATTCTTTTTTGAGAAAGACAATCTTTTTAAAAGGATGATTGGTGAAAGTGGCTAAATTCTAATTTGTTATTTAAATATTTATAAATGACTTTTGCAACTACTAAGTAAAAATATTTTTTGAAATCATGGAAATTTCGCAGTAGTTGCAAGGTATGATAACTCAATCTATAAATTAAACGAAGATGAATCTTTTATTATGCTTTTTTATCTATGAATAATAATAATTGCGTCTATGAAGGTAATCGAAATGATCGTTGTTTATCGTTGTTTACTATAATTGACAGCTATATACCATAAAGAGAAAAGTTTATAACTCGAATTTGCAATAAGTCAAATGTTGCCCTTCATGAAAAAATAATACAAATAAGTCAAATGTTGCCCTTCATGACCCTTCATGAGAACTTTAAAATTCATGATTGAATCTACAAACAATGAATAATGTCCATAAATGCGAAATATGAATGTTTTCTAGTCGGGGCACCAACACATCCCCCTAAGTTCAAATAAACTCTCAAATTTGCTATAACACAAATACTGCATTTTATAAATTAAATTCAGAAATTACATAATCCAAAAGTTTGTTTATTAACAATAATATTTTAATGAATGTAAACTATAGAATCCACCAAGATTTATGAAAAATGTCAAGCTTTTACGTATTTTAAACTTCGTATTTAAGTCACATCTCATCACTCTTGTCTCTTTAAACCTTTTTAAGAGCATATAGTTAAACTTTTTCAAGCAAGTTCTTACCGCATAATACCTACAATTATCGACTCCCGTAGCTTCTACGTGACTGCCAGATTATAACAGCAATATTCGATAAAATAGTAGATAAACTATGATATTCACCTACACTTTTGAGCTATGTCCGACTTTCTGATATTCTAAATTTTGTATTTAAGTCACATTCCACTCTTTGTCTCTTTAAACTTTTTTAAGTATCTTAAAACTTTTTTAAATACATTTTTCACACCCCATGGTACCTACAATTATAGAAACCAGCGACTTCTACGATTGTCGGACAATAACAGTAATATTCTTTGGTAAAATGTACTGTTTTGCCAAACGATCATTTTAAACGAAATTTAAATTTGATTATTAAATATTTTAATAAGAAAATGTGTGTCATTATCTTGTTAAAGTATTTTGTCTAAATCATATAAAATATTCAAACATGATTTAAAATATTGCTTTATTTGCTGGTGATAGTCTAAAGATTTAGAAAGACGCATGAAATTTGGGTAAAAGAAAAGCCTAAACAGGTACTATAAAATTCATCTAGTGGAGAAAGAATCGCCTTGTTTCATTCAACTAAATACGAATCTAAATTATTCCACTTTTTATTTTATCATATAGTATAAATCCTTTTTGCCAATAAGAAAAACGCTTGTTTATGCACTAGTAATTTAAGGTAAAATTTTTGTAAATTGGAATAATTTTGCATCCTATTTTTTTAATTCCTCCATGCAGGTTTTTTCTCCCTTTTTTTTTTTGGAAAAATTCAAAACACAACTTTTCTCGATAAGTTTCTTGAATAACTTGTAATTTTAAAGGGGATTTAAACACTTATTTTTAACATATTAGAGGAATATAACTAGATAAAAAATTTTGATGACCAAATGCAAATCACTAACAGCTCTGTCACTTCTACACATGTTTTTTGGACAACCTGTAATTTTTTTGGGATTACCCAATTTGAACTTATTTTTAAAATTTTACAAATCGAAAAGAATATAATCCAATAATAAGAATATAACTAATATAACTAGAACTATGTAATATAACTAGAACTATGTAAGAATGTAACTAGAAGCTAATAAGAATATAACTAGCTAATAGGAATATAATTTTGTGAAATTATTTCCTTGTAAAGTAACTGTACGATTAAAATTCTCTATTTTTAACTGCGTTTAAACTATAAATAATAGTAGAGCTTTCATCTTCACTTAGAGGAAATCAAATAAATTTTTCAACTAATAAACTAATTTTTTATTTTTTAAGCAAAAACTTAAGCTAAATTAAAATATTCTTAAGGAAAAAAAGCCAGAAAAAATTTTAAACAAAGTAAAAAAGCTAACTCCAAGATCCCTTTCATCTAATTCTTATCTTGACTCTTTCGTTCTTTAAAAAAACAGCTTCTCTTTTTTATTGTTGACGAAAACCACATCTGCATGATATCAATCCCACCACGACCTTCATCCCATCCTCGTAAAATGAAGGTTCTTTTTTGCATGCCATAATGGTTTAAATAACACTGAATTTAATTATTATTTTGATATTGATTTCTGTTGAGATATAAATTTTAAATAACCGCTCAAAATGTGATTTTTACTTAGAAATATGCAGATTAATGGGATGAAATAATTTGATAATAATGAGGCGAAGTATTTTGATAAAAATTAAATATAATATAAATAACTAAAATAACAACAAATCAAATAATAGTAAATAGTAATTAAATAATAATTATAATAGTGCCTAATTGCAATAAAATAATTTTAAAAAAATTTTAATAAATTTTACTTGATTAAAATTTTTTAATTATTTTTTGTTAATGCTTAAAAATAATACTTTTAAATTGTTGGCACTTTTAATATATTTTCAAATATTTTACAGTGCATTTCTTTGCATTTCGGTCATAAAACTAAATCCATTAGAATAAAGTATCCACTAGAACAGGGATGGGCAAACTACGGCCTGCGGGCCAACTGTGGCCCGCCGGAAAGTTTTGTCCGGCCCGTGGATAGAATTTGAACTTTCTAATTCGAGGAGAATATAAACAATATACATCCATTTTCTTGTCTACTTTGTTTAAAGCTATTTTCATTCTTTTTTTTCTAACAAAATTACTGATGACATTTTTAATTTCGCTATTTTTGTCCTACAAAACATAAATTGATGGAAATAGCTAACACAGACAGCTTCACTTGGTAAAATGTTGAAAGAAGAAGTTCTTTATAGAATAGCCGTAGATTGGCACCATCTGAAGCAGTTGTTTCTAAGTATGCCAAAGTTTGAGTTTTATAAATCATTACCAAAAGCTATTTTCCCAAATTTAATGAATCATGCCCAGAAAATCAGCACCATATATGCTTCATCTTATACATGTGAACAAGTGTTTGCAATGATGAACCTTAGAAAAAATCATTTCAGAAGTAGACTAATAACTAAACATTCAGTCTCGTTCCTTAAAATAAGTACATCTCACTTGGAACCTCAATGTAAGGAACTTTTAAAAATGAAGTCACAATTTCATTCATCTCATTGAATATTTAAATTAAAACTTGTATATCGTTTTTTTTTTTATTTATTTTAGCAATTTTTATCTGGCCCACAAAACTTTTTTTTCTCGATCTTTTGCCCTCGACTGAAAAAGTTTGCCCACCCCTGCACTAGAATCTCTAATAGGAAGAAAATGTTTTGAGACACTTGTCTTTTACTTATGTAAATGTCATAGTTAGGTTGACTGTTATTTACCAGGCAAAAAACTGATCACGTTTGATTATTTAACCTTTTTTAATAAGAAAAAACAAAAATTTTTTAGGTGTAATTAATGATGCAAAAACTGCAATGAAATTTACAATAAAAGTCAAATTTTTCGTCTAATGGCGTCTCGTTCTTAACTGCGACATGAATTAACAAGCGAGACATGAAATTCTCCAATCCATCAGGTCTAATTTTGAGCAGAAAAAAAAAATCAGTTGTCAGTACATGTGATTCAATGGTATCATGCTCCAAGGTGAGTGTTTTTGTTCTCTTTTTGAAAGAATATCAGACTAAGTTAAGTGCATACAATATCAGATGCCTAACTGGTAAGTAAAGTTTTGATTATTTCTAGGCAGATAGTATAAGGGATAAAGCAAACCAATCTATTAGACGTAATTCGATTGATACATTGTCTAAAGATTTAAGTATTTCTATATGATAATATTTTAGTCCTGAAAACAAATACTGTCATTTTAAAAGTTGCGCTATCTCCAATTATGCTAAATTTGCAATAAACAACCAATCACATCTATTGATAACCTAAAAGACATTGACTGACATAATAGGCATTTTGCATTGAGAATGTTCATTATAGAATACCAAATTGCGTTGTTGTCCAAAATCACTCAATTCGTTTAAACTTGCTGTAGCTCATTTACGTCGCATTAGAGCTGCACAATGGGTTATTGGCGACGGTCTGGGGAACATCCCGGAGGATGATCCGAAGACATGCCATCATCCAGCTTTGGTAGTCCGAAGACTTGCATGCAAAGTCGAGCACTTTACGGTAGAACAGTTTAGCGAGGACCGATACCGCACACTCTCGGTCCCTACGCTGACTAATCCAAGTGGTCACCCATCCACACACTAACCGTAGCCAGTGATGCTTGACTTCGGTGATCTGCTGGGAACCGTGTCTTAACGATCAGTCCACTGACGGACGCTTAAATTTTATCGAATTGATTAATCAGATCAAGCTTGAATGAATTTTGAAAAGTCTGCTAACTGCATATTTTCGGAGGGGGGAATTAATATATAGATTTTATTTTATCATAGCTAAGTAAATTTTACAATTAATTTCTAAGGACATGGTTTTCATTAGTTCTAACTGAGTTATAATGCACTTTTGGAAAAAATTGAACTTAAATACAAACTTACTGGTTAAAATATTAGTCATTCCTAGAGAAATCAAGAAAAAGTGTGATTTCTAGAGGACTTTTTTTTTCTTATTATGAATTAGTCTCACTCACTGAGGTGACTACTTACATGAGTAAGTGGTTTGTGAGAATGCTTATTTTGACAATCAGTAAGATCAGGTGTGACAATTTAGCTAAACATTTATTTTCTTCAAGTAAATATATGTATCGATCAGAGGATGGCGAATATGAAATTTTAACCTAATAGAGAAAACTAATAATAAGAAATATTCAGCGTATGAATTACAAAATTGATACCACTTATTAATTTTTCATTGGTGCGTATGAACCCTGCATTAATGCTTTGCCATAAGACGTGGTCTATATATGAAAAACGCCTACGCGAAAAAGTGGAAGTACGTATTAGTTTATACCAAGAGAACATTTCTATTTGTTTCTATCTCTTTATTAAAAAAAAAGTTTTTCAACTTCTGATTCAAGTATAAGCTTCAAATATTACGCTATACAGAATTATGTTATTTCATCAAACTATATCCCTATTATTAAAAACTTGTGCAACCACTTTTTTTCTTTTTTGGAACAATTAACCGTCTTTTTAAAAGAGCGTTATGCACAAGTGGGTTAGAACGGAATAACCACTTAAATATGATTTTTTATATTTTGTTTTTTGCTCTTTGATGTAATGTATTCATAATTAAAATCCTCATTTTTTCTGTATTAAAACTATTTTGATTATTACAGATGATGCAACAACTTGTTTATTTGACGGTGTAAGATATGCTGATCAAGAAGAATGGAAACCAGATGCTTGCACGTCTTGTAGATGTTATTTAGGAAATACTGTATGTGATACAGAAGAATGTCCTGATTTAGAATGTCGAACTCAAAAGTTTATTCCACTAGGAAAGTGCTGTCCTGTCTGTGCAGGTAAGAGCAAAAATATTTCGTGCTTTATTTTAGTACTTTTATGATAGTCCGAAACACCAAATTTACTCGAAGATTGAGAACAATGCTAGAAAGCAGTTTTCTGACATCAAAAAGCTAAAAAAAGAGCTTGTCGAATTGAAGGATCAGTCACACTGGATGCGAATTTTTTCTCTTGCGAATGAGAACCTGATTGGCGAGTTTTTCCGTTGAAGAATATTTTCCACCAATCCAGTTCTCATTCGAATGCGAGTTTCTTCTCATGCGCAGAAATTGCAGACAATGAGAATGGTCTCTTACACCATTCCTGAAGTTTCAAACCTTGTAAGGATAATCGAAAAATATCCACATGAAGCAAAAAGCAAATCATCACAAGCCTGACTCGGAATACACAACGTGAACAGACTGGAGCCTTTAAACTTGTTTACGTTTGAATGCTTATGTATCCCTCATAAAGAGGTTCTCCGAAGCAAGAGAATAGGTTTAAACTGTTTTATTACGCAACAAGCTCTATTTTGTAAATGTTTGAGAAAGGAAATACCTCTTCGCGCTTCAGAACCGGTTTTTATTTATATTCAGACAAAAAAAATTATAACTTTATGAGGACTCATCATGATTTTGGCTTTAAGATCGGTTAACATTCAACTTAACTGCGCCACAAAATTAACATTCGACTAGTTGTCCATTGTGTCCACTAAACAACACTTGCCTGAAAGAAGGCTAGAAGAATCAGACGCGAAAAATCGGGTTTTTGTTCCCCTTGTGAGATTAGGCACTTGATGTCAAGCCTCTTGTAGATGACGAAAAGGAATTAACTTTATTCAAAAATAAAATGTTAGCATTATTTGTGTTCAAAAATTTAAATGGTTGCAATAGTTTTGCAAGCTGCCAAAGTTGGAAGCTCTTTGACGTGCAAAATATCAAAATCAATATGTATTTTCCCCGTCATTAATGTCTTTATTTCGAATTGTTTTAATTAAAGCTTAATCCCCTGATCTAAGACAATCTCTATGCTAGATGAATTATTTATATTAATGAACTCTTCATTCATGAACTAAGTATAAATGCGAATTCAACAGTAGTCAAATAGCTTATAACATTTTTAATGAAAACTTTAACTAAAAAAGGCTTCTTAATTTTGTTAGTAGTTATAACCACTTAAAATTTCAACTGTGAGAGGTGTAAAAACAAGCCAGTTTCAATGAAGATAATACTGGTTCTAAAATAATTTATTTAAAAGAGCTTTATTTTGATTTTTTAAACAAATATTAACTATTTTAATTTTATATTTTTAATATTAAAACAATATGAATCAGGGTAGATTCTCAATTGCCGTGCTGCAGATTGGTTGATTAATTTTTTTATTTACGTATTAATCATTATCAGAAATGAAACAAATTTGTTTCTTTTATCTCAACATTTATAACTTTTTTTAACATTTACATATTTAATTGACTTAAATATATATTTACCTCCACATGAGTGAAATTCTTTGAGAGTGTTTTTGATTCCGATAAAAAAATCGGCTTCATTTTTTTTCTTTTCTTTTTTTGTAAATAAATATTTTTCACTTTTGTGTATAAATATGTTTCATAACTTTAAATGCCGCTATTCAAAGTAATAAAGGAATTAATAAAAATTGAATAAATATTTAAAAAAAAAAAGAAAACTACTTTAAATAACTTATGAAAATAATAATTATGTGTAAAACAGGAAATATTTTACAGAATTTAAATAAAAATATACCTCAATAATGTAATGGAGATTCTGAAGAAAACTAGAAAATATGAGCAAAATCCGAGACCATCATCTGGGAAAAGTTTTATGACAAAATGCCGAGAAAAAGAAATGGTTTCAGTTTGAAAGTCTCTCACTTTTTACACCATAATTCCTATAAACTACAACCATTCCAATACCTACCAACTTCAGAAGAAAGTTTTCTCAGTGGTACAGGAAAGGGAAAATTGTATACTTTGTATTTTGTGTGAGCTTAACTACACACCGTAATTTTAACAAAACTGAACTGTATGAAATATATAGGCACCAGAAGCCGTTTGAGGCCTTTTTCCCATTCATCTTTAACTTGCACTGTGTTAACTTGTATCCTTAACTTGTGGTATTTCGATGAGGTGGGGGAAAGAAAAGAAAGTAAAGGAGTATTTGTGTTTATCATTGAATTCCGACTGTGTAAGACACCATAATATGGTAATCATGCGTTTATATATACAGCGCTCGTGATAAGCATTCACCACCTCACCAAATGCGAAAAAAATCGTTAATTTGTTAATCGTTAAATAGTTAATTAGCTAATCGTAAAATTGTGCTTTGGCGAAAACATTGGCGAAGGATTTTTTCCACTGGAAAGAAAAAATATATTTAACTCGATTCTCAAAGTTACGTCAAAATGAATTTTTCTTAACAAATCCATATTTTTTATTCGCTTTCAGAAATTTTCGGTATATTCTCTGCATAACCAATGAGAATTGGGTCCAAATAATATAAGCCTGAAACAAACAATAGTAAAAAAAATTTCTAGGAAATAAAAAATTTTCATAAAAAATTGCTAAAATTTGCATTTGGCGAAAATTTTCGAAAATTGGGGAATACTTTTGATATTTGGCTAATTTCTTCTTCTTCCTCTTTATCAGTGCAACTGCCCCTTGCAGGCTTTGGCTGCCGCAACAGCTGACAAATGCCAGTGCCTACTATCCATGGCAACTCCCTTCCAATTTCAAATATCTGAGGTTTTCAGGTTCATGTCCTTGCAGGCATCTGAAAGGGGATCTACTTCCGGGACGCGACCCCTCGGGGTACCTAAAGGAGACGATTCTCATGGCGCTATTTTCAAGGCTTCTCCATAGATGGCCCAGCCATCTCAGTCTATCACTGTAAATTATTTGTGTAATTTGGGGCTGCTTATAGAGACGGTGGAGCTCTAAATTGTATCTGGTTCGACAGCACATCCTCTTTCTTTAATCGCGCTAAAGATGGCTCTGAGGATCTTTTTTTCGAAAGTCTGCAGTGGCAGCTGTATATCTGAATTTAAGAACTAAATTTCGCTTCCATAAAGCAGTACAGGAAGTGTGAGTGTCTTATAGAGTTTAGTTTTGTTTTTCGGCTGAGAAGGTTCGATCTTACCTGTCTCCTCAGTCCAAACAAACACTTATTAGCGATTTTGACTCTGTTGTCGATTTCTGCTCTAAGTATGTTTTGATTGTTAACAACAGTGCCAAGGAATTTGACTAATTTACTGCCTAATAATTTGAAATCCTCAGCACGGGCCCTGTATACGCATATGTTTAATTTATTTACATGAAGTGGTGATTAAAATAATTTTAAAATAAATTTATGAATTCAAAAAATAAATAAAAATCATAAATTTTATTTCAATTTTAAATATAAAAATAAAATCTTACTCAAAATGCGTCAAAGTTTGTAGCTATGCTTTCTCTGGGCGCACTCTCCATTCACTGATTAAATCTATTATTTCAATCTTCCCTCCTCCTCCCCTAAAAACAATAGGAGAGCCAAAAATATTTCTCAACATCCTTTAACATATAGGTCTTGTAACATGCAGTGTCACATTGTCCCTTATAAGTGATTACCTTTAGTCTGCATAGATAAAGCAGGACAATTTGAAACAATGAACATTTTTCCATAGTAAAAATAAATTAGTTTGCCTTGCTTAAATGACAGAAAGGAATGCCTTAGTAACTTCACTTACCCCTGAATATTGATCCTTTGTTTGGTAAGTAAGGGGAAAAGAATCATTTCCTTTCTTTGAACAAATATTGAAAGGCTCATATCGATGAGGTAAAATCATTTTCAAATATTGTTATATGCTCAATAAAGGTTTTAAAAATTTTAAAAGAAGCAGGAGAAATGTTTACAAATATTTTTTCTTTTAAAAAAATGAGTAGTTAGAGAAATTAATTATAATTAAAAATGGTCATTTACAATAGAAGTGCTTGAAACCTCCTGAACTTCTCTCTTACTTACGCCAATGTATAAGACTACATTTATTTTTCAGATGATGAGGCTGCATTTGGTCCAGATGAAACTGTAATCCAAGTGAGTATTATCTTAATATTAAAAACTTTTTTTAAACTTCTAAAATATAGTAAGTATTTCGTAAAAGCTAAAATTTGAATCGTGAACTGAATTCATAGAAAAATGGTTAATAAAACAGGGATGCCTAGTTTTGAAAATAAGTCGGGAAATCTTGGTTAACCGAGTATAACAATAACAAATTTCCTAAAACCGGAAGAAATCTAGCAAAGCCCGTTTTAATCCATCCACTCATCTTGCGCTCGCTAGGCAAAGTGTGACCAGGCATAATATTTTGGAAAGTTTATAGAGAATAAGTTACATGTCTTTTAATATAACTATTTATATGACTTTTCCAAGTTTTATGTATTTAATCAAGTCATGAGACATAAAATGAAATAAGGATATTAGAAACAATTATTAAATACACTGAATGACGTACCACCTTTTGAATTCACCAAATGTGGCTATTTTATATCGGTTTGAATCTAAAGCCATTGTTTTTGGCAACATTGTTTTTCTCTCTATATCACTCAAAACATAGAAAAATTCAAGAAAACAATAGTCTATAAAAAATAATCCCTCAGAAAAATGTAGACAATTTTTTTGTAAATTACTACGATGGTATCAAATCTATGCTTTGAGCTTAAAAGTAAATCGGAAATATTAACCGAAAAACCTAGCTTATACGTTAAACTACCAAATCTCACCCGCGGCCTTATAGACCCGTATTTTATAATGCTTTCTCTGGGAGAGCCGGTATCCTGGAACTGTTTCCATAAGTTAAACGCGACGCTGATCATTAAATAGAACGCTCCACAAGTCTGGACCTGAGATTGGCTTTCTTCTAGCCTTCTCACAATTCGCCCCCTCATTCCATCATATAAACGTTGGTGGTAACTCATTTTTTTTACTATTTTAATTCGAATTTAACCTATTACTGCAAAATAACACCAAGAAATTCTCCGGGATGTGCTGGAAAGATTTAAAGTTTATTGTGCTACATGATTTAAAGTTTATTGTATTAACAATAATATTTTACATTAATAAATGGGGAAATATAATTCTCCCAATGAGGTGACCCGGGTTCGATCCCAGCGATAGCTGGTCGATTTGAATTCTGCACCTGGCTCGCACCGACCATAGTGCTGACGTAAATACCCTCAGTTGTAGACGGATCATGGGTTTGAGTCCCCTTGCCGTCAGGCTAACAATGGAAGGTGTTCGAGGTTTTCCTCTCCATGTAACGCAAATGCGGGTTAGTTACTTAGAAAAGTCCTCTACAAAGCCAAATTTCTCCCACTACTTTATCCAGGAGTTCCCTTGACTTCTGGATCGGGTTCAAAATCACAAGGCTACGGAGTTGAACATTGGTAATTGTAAACCCTAAAATTGGGTCGGCTGTTCAACGACTGTTATAAAATATTGAAATAAAACTATCTATATGGAGCAATACCTATATGGATTTTACTTCGTGTAATCAGACTTTTAATCCGTATGTATGAAAATTATCCATATGCAAAATTGACTGTGTATAGCTAAGCACAAATGGTGCTAGGGGTTAAAATTTACCGTAAGGGTTCCAGGTTACTACTTTCGATTAATTTTTAAGCCTGAACTTGAAAAAACAAACCAACCATCCAACATTATTATACATTTAAGCGTTCTTTCAATTTAAATTTCAACGAAACAAACAACAAATGGATTTGAAAAACTCCACAAGCATTCTATGATGCTGTCCAAAAAATAACAAACAGTGATAATGTACACTAATATAGCCTATAAGGGATAACACTCAAAACAGGGTAAACCTTACACTTTATTTATGTTCTGATGTTAATTTTCTTAAATTTATTTTAGGTGCACAACCTTTTAGAATTTAAAAATTACTGAAAACTCTTAGGAATGCTAAAATTATTCGTAAATTTAAAGTAAAACACAATAATAAAACTAGAATATTAAGCCTGTTTACACATCGCCTCGTAAACATAACATAAAACGCTGGATACACCGAAAGTTTTCTAAATTACTTTCGCCTTAGGAAGCTTGTTATAATTTACATTTAATCAACCATCCATGATGAATTTTTGGTGCCTACGTTCCGTTCATATATGACTCTTTCGGATTTGAACTAGAATCTAAGGTACACAGCAAGAACTACTTCGATTTTTAGACTTAGAACTCATTATTGACATAAAAAGTAAATCAGGTAACAAATACTATGCATACAAAAAACGCTACTCAAGAAAGTCACAAAGTACAATGAACACGTTGTGAGCCAAATTGCCTCAAAATACGCCGGATACTGTAACCAGGAAGTATAACTGTAAAGAGCCTGCAGCGCCTCCTAGCTACAAAAACATCATCCATATTTTTTGCCTCTAGCGCCATCTTTAGAAGTTCAATATACCATAATTAAGAACTTTTGTTGGCAGCTTTAAAGTATTTTGGTTTCGGTTTGTTTGTTTACATCAGAGTCGTCAAACATACTTGTCGTGACTATTTCAGATAGGTGCGTATTTAAAATTCGTTGAAAGCAACCTTTTCATTTTCATTACTACTGCTCTGATTTAAATTTTTGTTAATGTGTAACCTTATTTTATAAGCATATGTTATTAAAGAATTAAGTACTCATCTTTTTACATATTTTTCCTTATTTTAAATATTTTGACACATATTTATTCCTTTTCAAAGTAATGGGTTGGAAAAAAATAACAATTGTAATAGTTCTCTGGCGTTAGTGATTAATATAGAATCGATTTATATTTCTATAAATTTGTTTTGCGAATTTCTGTTTTACAATCAGAGGCGTAGCTAAGTATCCTATAAGTAACAAGTATCCTATTCAATTTTTAGCTAAATGTAATGAAAATTCAGAGAAGTTGTGGGGCTCATAAATAGTAAATGACACTGGTAATATTTAAAGGAGAAAAATATTTTGTTCAGGAATTTACTTTAAACTATTTTTAATGAATTTAGATTCTCCTTAAAGCTGCAACTGGGGACCTACGGCCCCTCTTCCCCCTCCCCTCCAGCTATGACACTATCTATAATGTGTTGTTGTTGTTGTTCATTTACGTCGCACTAGAGCTGCACAATGGGCTATTGTCGACGGTCTGGGAAACATCACTGAGGATGATCCGAAGACATGCCATCACAATTTTGATCCTGTGCAGAGGGGATGGCACCCCCGTTTCGGTAGCCCGACGACCTGCATACGAAGTCGAACACTTTACGGTAGAACAGTTTAATGAGGACCCATACCGCACACCCTCGGTCCTTACGCAGATTGATCCAAGTGGTCAACCACCCGCACACTGACCATCTATAATGTGAGCATTATTTACCCGAAATTAAGAGCATGGAGTTTTCATGCAAAAATTACTATTTAATTTGTTTTTTAATTATAACCGATAAATTCAATATTTGGATCGCGTTACAAAACTATGCATTTGTCCACGCCCTCATTGGCGAGATTGTAATGCGCCAAGCGTAGCTTTCTAGCGTTCTTTTCTCATTCAATAAAAAATTACCAAACGTTACAGTCCATTTGACTCTATTAGCTCCGACAGCATTGTTTTCACTAGATGTCTCCTCATATTTCTACCCTGACATATTGTATCTCTTATTACTATATTAGAACTCGAGTCATTATAGTAATTGCGTTTGATAAATATTTTTTACACCGTTTGACAATTACAATTATTATGATATAAAAGTAGCTGTGTTACCCATAAAAAACAACTGTGAAATGACACTTAAAATCATTCTTAGTTGATCTCATTATAACTTGTGCAGGGGATTAAAACAATTTCTTCATAAAATAAGAGCTTTTTTAATTGTTACCATTTTTTTTGTTTTGATTTTAAGTTTTAAACTAACCATATAACTGAAACCTAGAATAATGTACAACGATTTTATTTAACTGACTATTTTTACTGTAAACAATAAATACTCTATTATCAATGCAAAATTAACTGTTTTGCATGGTTTTTGAGCAAAACTCACTCTTATTGTTTTTCCCAGATTATTTTATTTGTGCAAGGCTCTGTAAAGCAGTGTTTAGGCATGATATAACATGTTCTTTTGTTTTTCTTTTATTTGTTTAGTTATATATATGCGTTTTTTTATATGTTTTTTTTCCTTGCAATAGCAATTTTTTTTAAATGACTATTACAAAAAAAGTAAATCAAATGTACGAATGAATAATTTATCGTTTGCTCATGAAATTTACTTATTTGTGGTGATATCATGTAACTAAATTTGACAGATGATTTAATGTTTATTGTATTAACAATTATATTTTAAATTTATAAATAGGGAAATATACTTCTATCCTTAAATTTTATTCTTAACTTAAATTTTCTTTGGCTTCAAAAAGCACTAATCATTATAAACTGAGACAAATTGTTCAAGTTTAAGCTATTATTATCAAGATTCATTAAAAAGCTTATAAAACAGCAAACTTTAATTTCTAAAACTTTATACATGAAAACTTTTCACATATTATAAAACTCATTATTCCACAATATGTTGTTTTTTCTTGTAAACTGTTTGTTTTTTCCTTCTAACTATTAAATTTTATTTTGAGCTAAAATTTAGCATTGAAAATTCCTTTTTGTAATTTGTACTGCTGAAAAATATATGAAGTTGAATCAAAAATAAAATTCTATGCTTAAAGAATACAAAGATCTTACTGCCTTGAACTATTTCACCTTCCATTTCACCTTAGCTGCACCAACCTGCACAAAACCTGTTCTAATTCACCTTAGCTGCAATACTCAAAATTCTTTTCTTTTTTTTTCCCTTTTAAAAAAAGAGCAAAAAACATTTTTCAAATTTAGCTAACAGAACTGATGCAAGATAAGCATAAATTTCATGAAATTGCACTGGATTTCCTCAAAACCTAATACATATATATATATAAGTGGAAAATTTGTAATTTTAGTTATTAAGTTTGCATTGTTAATTAATTTATATTGTTTTATTTTTCATAAAATAATGTTCAGGTAAACTAAATTTTCAAATAGAACCAAATTATTAAACTATTGCATTAAACAGTTTTAAAATAGTGAAAATATCTGTTCAACGCTTTTTTCGAAACATACTATAGCAACTTACATCACTTAAAAAAAATTATTCGTACTTAAAATATGAAATGCATATTCAGTGGCCGATTCAGCGGGGGGGGGGGGGTCATAGGGTCATGACCCCCAAAATTGAAAAAAAAGATACAAATAATAATTTTTTAATAGTTTACGAAAGAAATAAAATATTTTAAAAATTACTTAAGGGGGCATATACACTGAGGTAGGTCGGAGAAAGCGATTTTTTTCCATCTAATTATGTTCTTCGCTGTTTTAAGAATCATAATCCAAAAGATTAAAACGAAATTCGTCATAGTTTCATTGCCCCCTTATTNGTGCAGCAACAGCAGAACGTTCCTTTTCAACTCTTCCATGTCTCGAAACTAGGGCTTAGAGCAACTCAAAATCGAGAACGATTAAATGGACTTGCATTATTAGCATTCACTGAGATATTGATTTGGATGTTGAAAAAATCATTGACTGATTTGGCAAAGTTTCTAAAAAATGCATTACATTTATTATTTAATGATGTTGAATACTTGAATTATTTATGTATTGTTCTATTGTTCATTATGAAAAAAATAAATTAGAAGACTAGCATTAAAAACCCCATTTTTTTTTCAAAATAAGTATTTTAAAGGAAATAATTTAAATGAAAAAAAATTTAGGGCAGGGTGGGGGGGATCTGAGTCTACGACCCCCCCCCCTCCAGGAAAAATTTCTGGATCCGCCCCTGTGCATGTTTAAAAGATTAATGCATATGTTCTGCATTTATTGTTTAATTTGTGTTCAAATGATTACAATGATTTACTCCAAAGACTCATTTAAAAAAAAATTTATGAATTTTCTTTTATATTAATAGAGACCTCGACCTAGCTTTCCTGTTGGAGTACCAGCAATCGGATCCCCAGATCATGTAGTTGTTCCAGTTGTTGGACCACCTGTTAGTATAATTTTATTCTTATTTAAATTACTTGAAAATATTATACATAATTTGTTAAATGCAAAGGAATTACAATAAAATTATTTCAGAATAACATTTGTGCAGTTGGAAAATTTTAATTTTGCTCATTGTATCTCCTTATGGCTTATTTTTCTTTCATTTGTTTAAAATATTTTCATTAATTTAAATGTGAATGAAAATTTAGTTATTGATGTAGTTTTTTGCATTGTTTTGTAACTGAATAAAATATTTCAGGGTGAACATGGAGAACCGGGAACCCCTGGATCACCTGGATATAGAGTAAGAATCATTCTTATTTATTTCATCCTTATTCTTTAACCATTTAATCCATTCTCATTACATTATCTTTAAATCATTTTTATTACATACATCAATTTTTTAATATCACTTTGATATGCTATTTGAATTAACAAAAAGTATCAGGAAACATGAAATTATAATTTTACTAACATATACATAGTTCTAAGTAACTGGCAATTCACAATGTCAAAGTATATTTGACTTCCCTATTTTTCTCTGAAACTCTTTGCTTACAGTTCAAATTTGTGTTCAACTTAGCTTTGTTTTTAATTTCATCAAAATTTTTTATCATTTTACTGAGTAAAGGCTGAGAGATTTTCAGTGCTGTCCTTGACTGTTAAAGCATTGCCTTTATTTCATTGCTGAAATTCTTGACCATCTGTAATAAAGTTTTTAGTGCAACTGGATAGCAATAAACTATTCTATAGTGTACAACAGTCCAAACCCCTTGCTTATTGATGAAACGAAAACTCTGTAATTTTACTTCTGCCTACACCTTCCCCACCTGTCTTGCATTCAACCAATTACCCCTTGCCACAACTCAATCATGCAATTCCTGCATGTGCAATAAAAAAAAGGGAAGGATTCTCTTTTTGCTTTTATAGTTTAGAGTTTGTTTGACTAAATGAAAAAAAAATCAAAATTGATACAATGAAATTCCTTATATGCGATAATATATTATCCGTAATCACGTTAAACTTATAGTTGCAGTTGCAAACATTGGTATTAGAGCACTTGGTATCTTTTAAAATTTTTATCACAATACATATTTTATGCTTCATGCTAATATTTCATATTGTACTGTATTGTACGCATCTCTCAGCTTTGATGAGTTAATATTTGATTTCTATTGTTTAAACTTTTGTCATAACTACAGAAACAACTACAGAAACAAAATACTTTTCTAATGGGAAAATAAATTTATATTACATTAAAAAGGAAAGAAAAACAAAGAAAACTCCTCTGTGGAAACAAATAATTAGTAAATAAAAATTTATAGGACAATATTTTTTTTTTTGACATTTAAATTGATCTAAATAAATTTTTATTAAAAATGTATTCAACTCTCCTTATCAAAAAAAAATCATGTTGTTATTCTTTTTAATAATAAAGTGTTTCTTACAATTTAAGTTGAAGAAAAATTCTAGCTAAATAAAAATTCCATTTAATTTTAGTCATAATTTTTCTTATTTAACAAAAACGCTTACTTTACTTTTTTGTTGAATCTATGGTTCAACTAATAAAACAAAATTTAAAATTGTTGATGCTGAAATTTTTTAAGAAGAACATTTTTATTCCATATAAAGAAATCTTAACTAACAAATTGTTAATTAATAATGTATATTATAGTCAATATGTTTTAATGAAAGTATTTAAAAATACATAAATCATACAAGCCTTGGAAAATAATATTATATAGTCATACCATAATATTTAAATATTTAGTATAATTAAACATTCTCCAAGAACCTGTTACCCTCATTTCTTTTTGAAATAAATAAAATGTTTTATGTGTGTATTTCATAGAATTCATCAATATTTCACTAGAATATTTCATAGAAACAATATTTAAAATTACAAAAAATATGAAGTATAAAGACACTAAAATATGAAAGAATATGTTTTTAGTGAATTTAAAAATAAAAAAAAACAATGATGTTTACCTTTTCTACAGGCCCATATTTACAGGCTAAAAATCTCATTTTCTTTGTAAATTTTATTTTGAAATATTAGTCAATATTATATGTTATTAAAAACAAAATAATCTTAATTATCAGCTTCATTTTTTGCTGATTCCTTTTCTTAATATTTTCCTAAAACTTATTACAAAAATACGAAAGGAATACAAAAAGAAGTATTCTTTTTCACTTCTTTTATATTTATGTATTTTTATTTTTGTAAGAAGCAAGAAAAGCTTAGTATAAATGAAAGTAACTGCTTATCTGAAGTCTTTCACGAATTACACATGTATGCAAAAATGAAAATTTTAAAGTCAATGATTGTTATCAGATGCACTTATACAAGTGTATTGACATAAAGAAGGTAAAACATGCATTTATTTGGGTCATAGTGTGGTTTTTACTTCACGTGCATTAAACTTACTAAGGTTAAGAATTTTAAAAATGACAGGCCCCAAAATATATTATCTATACATTATAGCAGATAACACAGCAAAAATCCTGTAGAGGTGACAATACTGGCTGACTGAAATGATTTCGGTATCCTTTCTATTTACTTCTTAGAGTATTTTGTGGAAAGTAAGTTACATTAAGACAAGATGTGAAGGTCTCTATTAAGATTTCATCAGAACTTCAAAGAAATATATATTTCTCAGTGAATTTGGAAACAGGAGTCTGGAAAAATATCGTTCTAAGTTGATTAATAGTTTATCATGTTGAAGGCATATTGAAAAATGGAGATAATTTCATTGAAGCTAAACTTTTTATTTAAAGTCATACATGCAAGACATTCAAAGACTTTTCATAAACATTTAAAAAAATTTTAACACTGACAATATTTTTTTAAAAATCTTTTTGATAGTTTCAAAAGTTCAACGGCTAAAAATTAAGCATTAGCAAATTAAGCATCAACTGCAAAAAGTTATTAGCATTACTAAATAATAAATAATTCTTATTTAGAACAACTGCTTTATTATAAAATATTTTAGTTTTCATTTTTATTTATAGTATAAAATGTATGCTTTATGATTTATAGCATTTTCAATGTTCATTTGTTATTAATTTTATATTTTAAAGAAAATAATATTTGTTTCTGTTGTGTTTATTTGTACATTTTTTCAATTTAAGTTTATCAAAAAGATACTGTTAAATTTTTAGCTTTGAAAAAAACAACTCAATTAACTTGCCTTTTTTATTAACAGGGAACCCCCGGCCAACCTGGTTCACATGGCACCCCTGGTGAACCAGGGCCTCCTGGGCCACCTGGTAATGCTGGAGTAAGTTTTCTTATTTTTACCCTATTAAAATTTTCAATGCTCTTTTTCTTTTTTAAAAAATGAAAATTTTAAAATAATATATGATATTCACTTGTTCTCCATGCAGTGCCTAAAGGTAAGTCACCTGATAAGTAAACTATTTTCCTCTTCAAACTTAGCAAAATTCTCTCATTTTTTCAGAAAAGATGTGATATTAACATTGACTTTTAAAATAAGCCCTAGTAAAGTAAAATTTGGCGCCCGGTGGCTGAGTGGTAGCGCTTCGGGCTCCCATGCCACAGGTCCTGGGTTTGATCCTCGGGCCGGGCAAGGTTGACTCAGCCTTTCATCCCTTTTGTGGATCAATAAATGAGTACCAAGCATGCTTGGGAACTAAACACTGGAGGTTCCGCATTCGGTTGACCTCCTGACCGAAACATCTTCTCCCACACACCAGAGCCTATGGCCGAGAAAACTGAGATGGGCACAGTAGGCCTTGGCCCTCTAGGGGCTGTCGCGTGACTGAGTTTAGTTGAGTAAAATTTAATGTCTAATAACCAAATTGAGTTAGGATATGTTGCTCTTCTCAACTGTCTAAACTAACATGCTAATGCACTAGAGAGCTTAGAGTAGAAGAGAGATACAAAGAGAGGAACTACTTTTGATTGGTCGAAAGGAAAAATTTACAGCTGGTGGCTGCTTTTAAAAATAATCCCCTATTCTAATAACAGGAAGTGGAAATTGTTCACTGTAAGAAATTAATATTGTGAAAAAAACATAGGTACTTACAAACTTAAGTACTTACTTTTTTTTTCAATAAGTAACTTCATAGTTTTTCTAATAAGTAACGTAATAGTAAATAAAAAATTGTTGCAAAAAACAGAACAAAAAATCAATGACTAATTCGTTGTTTGAATTTGTTTTTAATGTTTTATAGTTTCATGCACTTAATATCATATTTAACTTGCTGTAGAATGAACAAACTGATTGAATAATTATTTAATATCTTTAGACTAATGTTTCAATCTACTATAAACAATATATCTATCTGAATTATTAATTAAGATGAAACCTCTTTAATCAAATTACAAGAAGTGGATAGTTTGATGGTATTTTTTTACTTTTTGGTGCCATGTAGTGTTTGCTGTTTAATGTTTGGTTAAAAAAACTTGTAGTGTTATGTTAAGTTCGTTTTTAAGTTTTAGTTGTTGATTATAGTTTTGTGTAATAAGCATGCATTTCAGAGGGAACATAAAAAAATATTTATAAAAAAAAATACGAAAATTTTTTCTTAAATATATTTTTTTAATTTATTTCTTAATAATGTTTTAATAGTTTATATATTACACTTTTTATTACTTTTGATCATTTCTAAAATTAAAATTCTTTCAATGTCCTATTTTTTCTTACAATAACTTTAAGTATGTGTTAAATTCTTTGTTTTACTTAAAGTATCACGCCTACCGGCATAATACTTAAGTAAAAGGGTAGGGGTTAGGGAACTGGCCTTGCATCAGAAAGGTTCTGGGTTCGAATCCCGGGCAAGACATTGATGTTCTTTCCTTCTCTGTACTATCTCTCCTTACTGTGGGAGCAACGTTGATCCACCTAATATGGTGCTCTTGAAAGAGTGGCTAACAAATCTGCCTTTCAAATGCCTGTATGACGAAAGGTCATTCTCCAGGTGGGCATTGGAGAAAAAAGTTAAGTGTCATGAAAATTTTTTGTGATATTACTTGACCCTGATTATATTGATCCTTTTTTTTTATAGTTAATATTACTTAAATATTAAGGCTGTTTTATGAAGCTTCAGTCGTCATATGAAATTATGTTTTTTTTTTTAATAATATGCTATTTTTTTAACTACTGTGAGTTTGCAACAGTTAGTCATTGCTGTTAAAAAAAGTTTAGCCTATCTAAAGCCAATACTGTCTATGTTTATTCTGAAAATGGCACAAAATGTTAACCTGTAGAAAAGTCACAGTTTTGTAAAAATAAAAAGCATTGGTGACCTAATTTTTTGATAATTTTCTTCCAAGTAGGAAAATGTTACAAAATTTGCAATTTTTAAAAATTTAATAACTTTTAAGTACTTTAAATTATTTGTCCATCCTAAAGTCAGAGCAAGAGGTTTTAGAATGGAAAAATATCTTATATAGTTTGAAATTATCTCTTAGCTTTGAGTGTCAAGCACTTAAACTGTGACTTTTTTATTGTCCTTCACAACAGAGCTCCAAAAAAAAAAAATTTTTTTTTACTTCTAAGCATTGTATGTTTTTTCCTTTTGAGGAAGTTTAAAATCAACAATAAAAATTATATAAGAGTTTCCATGCATTTGGGAAGTTTCTCATAGTAAAAAATATAATAATAGTAAAAACATACCTTTGTCTTTTACACCTGGCATTTTTCATCTAATGTTGTTTGAATAAGGTTGATTTCTGAAATAGTTTCTGTCACTAAAGTTTTTGAAAATGTGATACATTGTTCAAATTGGTACAAATGTCATACAATTATAGAATCAATATATACTTTTATGTCCCTCAGTTTTATTTCATTTCATACTCTATTATTAATTAGTGATTTTCCCTTAAACTGTTTTAAAACAGAAAAGTAGTATGAATAATGAGGCATATGGTTTTCACTCTCTCATGTATGTTTTGAATTCACTTTTTTCTGAATAAATAGATCAGAAAGCTCTCTATATATGAAGGTTATATTAATCAGTATTCAATAAAATATGCTCCCCAAATGAAATTTAAGAACAAGTTTTAATGTTTAAGTAATAATTTTAAGTTTTTCATAATTCTATGAGTCACTCATAAAGCAAAATAAATATTAGAAAAAAAGACTTTATAATTTTTTAAAAAAAATAGCAGCATTTTTCAAGCAACTTTTTTTTGTCTTATTTAATTTGAATTTTCTTCTATATTTAGAATAATAAAAGAAAGCTAATCACAGTTGTGCCATGGAAATGAGAATTGCTTATTTTTGGTTTAGTGTGCAGCAATCTTCCTTTAGCAAAATTTAACTGCTGTGCATTCACTCTGACCTATTATCAGCACTCTTATTAAGTCAGACTCTCTACAATGCACAAGATACTTAAAGAAATGCTTCAGTTCTTTAATTCTGTTGAGCCCAAAAAATGCATATTTTCTTATAAGACCATACTTGAATCGAAAGAAAAATAAAACAGATTAGGACTGATTTAATATACCTAGTTTAATTTAAAACTAGATAAAGCAGATTTAAACTCATCAATTTAACCAAACACAAATATAAATTTTTAAAAAAGCACTTTTATTCTATAAATTAACAACTTTAAAACTGTGATTTTTATCTAGAAAATGCAAAAACTTCTAAGTTGTTTGTGAGACAGATCATTATTTGAAAAAAGTAAAGATATTCAAATTATTTAACTGATTCCATTCTAACTTTTATTTAAAGCACTTAAACTGAATAAAAAGTAATTTAAAAACTGAAATGCAATGTATTTTTGCTTCATAATTTATTGTTGCGAAAATCAGAAAGATCTTTTATAATGTTTCCCTATTAAAAGAATTTCTACAGCATTCTTTTTAGTTTTTCTTTTTTTAAAAGAAATAAAGATCTTTAAATGTTTAATACTATCATATTTTATACAAAATATGAAGTTTATTTTTTCTTGCTGAATCAATGAATTGTTATTGAAAAAATTAAATAAATTAAAAACACCTTACTCTCAATACAGTGATTTTTAAGGGGTGACAGTTGATTTTTAAGGTGGAAAAATCTTTATTTTTCATTAGTATTTTTCTTTAACTCATACACAATTTAGATTACAAAGTTGTCAGTGCATTAACTCCTCGAGCATTAGTTTTTTTTTTAACTTTACAAGAGTAGCTCTCCTACTTCAAAAAACTAGATTTTTTTTATGTTTTTCAATGGGAAAATGTAGTGTGTTGCAGTAAAACTTCAGTATAGTTTTTCCAGCTCAATATAGAAGACATTTTCCCTAAGAATCTGTAATGTGTCCTTTATTCTTCTATTGACATCTTTTTAAACACTTTGTTACATACAAGCTATTTTAAAACATAATTTTGTTAGATTTGTAGTATTAAAAACCCACTTGAATATTAGCATAGGTATTTATTTAGTTTTTATTACTAATTTAAATTGAAATGGTGTTTATCATGGAGACACTGAATGCTGAGTAGATTTTTTATCTACTGTAGTTTTTTATCTAGATAGTAGATTTTTTTATCCACTGTTTCGTATTTTTCAAATGTTCTCTACATTTAAGGTGCTAAGTGCTCTCTTTGGATGTAACTAATTAATATAGTGTTACTAATTAATATAGTGTTTACTAATTAATATAGTGTTACTAATAATATTTGTGTTAAATAATTAAATTATAAGAAAATGTTAACAATAATGTTATAAAAGTTTTTATATCGCTTTTGTCATAACCCACCCTAAATCTGCTTTAAAAAATAACTTAAATTTATATTTTTCAGTGGAATAATTGGTTTAATCATTTGTCTGCTCAAAGTGGTGATAAAGGGCCTGCTCCAGATGCTTTTCATTTCATGCAAGCTCAAGTTGTAAGTATTTTATTTCTTTTATAAAGTTGAACATCAAAAAAAAAAATTATCAATCAATTGTATTTATTATTTTTTTAATTATTATCATATTTCAAATGTAATTTATTTTATATTTTAACCAAATATCTGAAAAGTAAATATAATTACCTCAGTTTTTCCAGTTTATAATTATTAGTTAGCATTTTTAATTAGGTAATGAGTAAATAATAATTGTTATAAATTGGCATGCTTACATTTTAGCATCCATTCTTGCTTTAGTTTTGCAACATTTTTGTGAAAAGCCTTGTTTTGATATTATGTCTGAAAGATTTATTATAAAAGAGCAAATGAGTTCTCTATTTAGAAGAAAATATTTCTGTATTTCTTTTTGTTAGTTTATAATGTCAGTGTAAAATAACATCTCTCTTTATAGTGTAAAGTAATATCTCTCTTTATAGAATTCACTTATTTTATTATTAATATTGATTTAAGTTTCTGTTCTTATTCTACTGCATCTTATTTATAAAACAGAGCTTCTGGAATCAATGAATGATGTTTTGATGCATGTATAATGTTTTTATTATTATTATTTTTATTATTATTATTACTGTAAAAATCTGACTATTTAAAATTCAACTAATCAAAAGAACTTCAAGTAATGGAAAGTTTTCAAAAATGTGTTAAAAAATATTTGCAAAACTTTCAACATTTGCTTCAAAATGCATAATTTTTTTCCCATTTATTGTGCTCTACAAAATTTGATTAATTAAGATTTTTCGTAAATGTCATTATTTTTTGTTCTTAAAATTTTTTTGTTGCAAAAAATTTAAATAAAAACTTTGAAAAGCTCTCTCTCTATATTTTCTCTTATAGCTGCAGCTTTTTTTACTGCAAACTGTATTGCCCTCTAAAAAATTACAAAAGACATAAAATAATTTTATAATTTTGTATTATGCTTTCACCAAACCTACAAATGTTTACAGAAAGTGGAAAAGAAAAACAATTTTTATAATACCAGAAGTTACAGAGGATAGTATTGAAATTAAATTCTTTCTTTTCAATAGAATGTTTCAATAGAGTGTTCAATAGGAAAAAAGTTATTAAAATTGTAGTTTATAGTGTTTTGATTTTGCCAGTTCAAAATTACTTAGAAAGAAATTCATTACTGTATAATCATTGTAACTTTGCTGTAAAATAAATCAATAACCAAAATAATGACTATTTATTGGATTCATTTAAATGTAGTGTTTAATAATTTTCTTTAATATCTTTGTCTGATATTTTGAAATATTTTTCTTGATTTTTTAATTCATGAATATTTTTAAAATGTATCTCTTACATGTTTTAATTACCTGAAATATACTATTTAACTACTTTTCTTTTCCCAGGGACCTGTTGGACCCCGAGGTACTCCTGGGCCACCTGGACAGCCAGTAAGTATTTGCTAGGCGTGCATTTTATGTATATTTTTATTAAACATGCATATTTGTTTAGCATACACTTTTATTGATCAAGTTTAAAGTTCTTATAAATACTTACTACTTCATATTTTTTTTTAAAATTCATCTTTTTTTGCGACTAATAACTTTCACTCACTTTTGAATTAAATTTGTCAGAAAATTTTTGAATTAAATTTGTCAATTCAAAAAAATGTATGTTATAATTATATAAGAAAGCACTGTCAAGATGTTTAAAAATCAGTTTATAAGTACAAAAATACCCAGATCTCCTGTCTCCCTCTTTCACATTTTACCATAAGTTCTGTGTAAATCCTTATAACATATTATTTTAGCAGTGTTAAAATAAATTTCTTTCAGGGTCCTCAAGGCTTTCAAGGAATTCGTGGGGAATCAGGTGACTCTGGACAAGCTGTAAGTAACTAGATCACATCACTTTATTCTTATATTATTTTGGTTATTATCAAATATTTAATTGACTGATAATTTATCTCTTTATTTTAAATTTTTAAAAAAAAATATGTAAAAGTTAAGCAAGACAATTAATATTCGTCTTTTATATTAATCTATTAGAGTGAAATACTATTATATTAAAATACTGTTAATTTATGTTATAATATAAATTTTGTTAAATCATTACAAGTTTTGAATTTAAAATCTATTTTTTGAATTAAATTTACTTTCAATTTCCTTATTGTTTCAATTTTAATTCATGACAATTGATTGAACATTTACTACTTGGGATAAATGTTTGAAAGAATTTTAAATGTAAGTGCTATGCTTATTCTTAGAATTTAATCCGCTAAATTTGTTTACTAGAGATATGAAATATATATGTGTCATAGTCTATACTTTCTGGTTATCTTAAGAGTGCCAAAATTTGAAATAATTTTGTGAACTTCCAGTCTACTTAGTTTATGGATTTTGATTCAAAAGTCACAACTGGCAATACTACCTTATGACTTTTGCACCAAATATAGTACTACTGCATGATCTACTTAGAAGCAAGTTAAATTTATAACATGCTGATTAAATTATTATTACATATGGGTACTTAATATAGCAATCAACTTGGAAAGGGCCAACTTAACAGATTTTGATATATCTTTTCTATATCCGTTTTTACCCTTTGTGGTCCACTGATTAATAGTACTGAACATCTCATTAAGGTTGAATAGATTTGGTTAAAATCTGTCCTGTTCAACTGGACAATTTGTTGTCATATTTATGTGAATTTATTTTCATTTTTAAGGGATTTATTTGGTTTTTAAATTAAAATATAAATTTACTATTTTGTCAATGTGTTTGTTATTTACACTTTGATCAAAGCAGTGTACTAGAAGGAGTAAAACTCTGGAAAAAAATTGCCTTGATACTAGTACTATTTATACTTTTCATTGTATATTCTTCTATTAATCCATATAAAAATTACAACTAGCCCTAATTATATATTTATGTATAACTCTTTTTAACTTTATTTTCAATTTATTTACACATTAATGTAATTTTTAATTAAATATTATTAGGGCTCACCTGGCACACCTGGACCAAGAGGACTACCAGGATTGCCTGGAAAAGACGTAAATATTTTTCTTTTCATTGATTAATTTTTGCCATTATGTAATACTCAATGTAATGACATCTGAAGATCAAAAGGAATAACAGTTTATGTCCCTTTCTCACAAAAATGACAATTGGATTGCAATCTGCTTCTTGAAGATTATTGAGTTTTAATTGGGATTGATTGGGGAGAATTTTTGAGGAAAACATCAACATCAAAATTTGTAAATTTTGTTTTCCAATTTCTAGGAGATGTAAATAATTACTTGTGACATTCGTATATATTTTTATTTTTATGATGTCAATCGTAATCAAATTTGTCTTTACTTTTGAAGATTTCAAATCTATGCTTATAATAATTTACAAAAGTTTCTTATGTTAATAAACTTTTTTAATTGATTGTTTTGGACTAAAACAGTTTAAGATTGTTTGCAAACAATTTAGTATTTGACTGAAAATGAAATCTAATCATAGCAACAACAAATTACTTTATATTGGTAATTTGTTCTCATTTTATATAATTACGCATTATTTTATGTTACAATTATTTTTTTATACTTAATAGGATTTCAACACACTAAACAACTGATACACAATTTTTATGTTTATTGTATTCATGTTGCTGGATTTTAATACATATTTAATAAAAAGTAATATATTTTCCTTTGTCTTGTTTATTCATGAATATAATAAACTATCCAAGATTCAGACTATTTTTCTATTATAAAGTGAATAGCTTAGATTATGACTTTTAACAATTAATTTTGATCTTTGGTGCAAATAATAGAGCATAATAGATGTCCTAATTACCAAACTTTATTTTTGTATAGTTATTTAATGATCAATTTTGCTAATGTTTGAAAATGATCTGATTATATTTTTTTCAAATAGGGAGAATCAGGAGAAGATGGACGTCCTGGACCACCAGGCCCTCCTGGACCTGCAGTAAGACCAATTTATTTTCTTTCCATGATATTTTGCTTTTAAAACACGTCAACAATATTGATAAATTTGTTTGCGTGTCTACATTATTATGAAAAAGTTTTAGTTAAAAATTTAATTTAATTTTTTTTGTTAATTTCTAATCTATATTTTTTCTTAAACTTATTTTTTTAATAGTAGGGAACCGATTATCCGGAACGATCGGGACCATCGCTATTCCGGATAACTGATTTTTCCGGTTTTCTGAATCACTACAAAAAGCCATTTTTTTTTATTGTTAAACCCAACTAAAAAAAAAATTATGGAAATAATCTTAAAAAGAAGAAAAAACGATGAAGTAATACACTAATGATTATTTCCAAAGTGATGGTAAGGTAAACATCTTTCAAAAAAGAAAGAAAAATCCTAAAATCTTATGAGGAAAAAAAATATTTTTTAAAAAACTGGCGGGAAAATTTCTCGAATTTCGTTCCGGTTTTTTGGTTTTCCGGTTTTCTGATTTCCGGATAACAGGTTCTGTACTGTAATCACTTCTAAAAACAGAAATAAATTTAATTCTGCAAATTTATTTGCATGGTTTTTATTTTTTTATTATTCATGTAGAAAAGGTGTTTCTGATATCAAGCAATTTGAAATTCCATTTAATTTTTTTATATTTATTTAAAAAAAAAAAGCTTTTCTCTTAGGTTGACAAATGCTGTTAGTACATTTTTTTTACAATTTAAAAAAACAAAAACCCAAAACTCTTTCTGCTTGCTACAGCGTGTCTGTTTTAGAACTTTTCGCATTTGTAATCCCTTGAAGAAAAAGAAACAAATGTTTAATATAATTCTACCCTTCTTCAAATCAAGTTCATGACCACAAAATTTTCATGTATAGATTATGAGGGTGAGGTATGTTATTATACTGTCTTGAGTACAGGAAAATAATTATTACGCAAAATAAAAAATAACTGCTAACTTTAATATCACTTGCACGATTCAGTTTAAATTTGACAGTTGAATGCTGGGATTTTTTCTGAGCAGACACGTTCTCACTACTAATAATTTTTTTATGGAAAAGTTAAAATGCAGTGTTTTTGAGTGTATCCCAAACCATTGATGTCTCAATAGCAAGTATTGCAGTGATTTGCTCTTTGCCTGTGCTACATCATAGTCATTTATGGCAAGCATATAGAATGTGTCATTAACTGTTTATGTGTAGTTACTTATAAAATTTTCAGAAACTTTTTAAATTCTGTAGTTTTAAAAAATCTAACTTTATATCATATAACTCAGTAATTATCACCCTGTATTGTGACCCAAACACCTTATCACACTTTTTCCCAATTTCAAATTTTAATTATCTTTATTTTATATGCTTAATTAGAACAAAGAGATATTAACTTTTTGCTTATGAATTACTAATAATATAATTACTAATAATATGAATAACTTTTTATAATGATATTTGAATAAAAATCAAATATTTATTCTCATTTTCCTATTGCGGTCGCAAAACTGCATCTAGGTAAGTAATAATGTTGGTCGTTCTAGTATCAATATACAACAGATTTAGTACAACTTGTCTCTTAGCATTAAAATAGCTAGAGATTAGTACAATATACTCAAACAAAACCATAATTAGTCTAATATTCTCTCTAAATTCATTTTTTGAAATAAATTTTAAATATGTTACTATGTCTAAATTGATAAAAAGAAGTATAGGATTTTTTTTCTTTAAATAAAACTATCACTTGTCTTTTTAAATGTAATACGATCTTGAGAAATATAAATGAACCCAAACTAATTATTTATCCAAGTGTATAGTTCTCTTTTTTAATGAGTTTCTTTTATATTTAGGGTTCTAGAGGTACACCTGGACTTCCAGGACTACCAGGAGCCAAAGGACATAGAGTAAGAAATTGTCTCTAGTATTTGTTTTAAAAAGGTTTTTAGACAATTGTTTTTTATTTCAGCAATTTTCAGTGAATGTAATATTTACCATAGATAAATATCATCTATTTTTAAAACTCAATTTTTTATTCTACTGAAGATATTTCTTCATTAAAACTATTTCAAGTTTGATTTATCCAAATAAAAATTTTATGATGAAGAATTCTCTACATTGTGATTCATTAGTTGGTAGTCATGTTAGTATCTAATTAATAAATAATCAAAATTTGTTAAATTTATCAAAGTTTCAAAAAAGGGTAAAAAAAAAGACAATTTTGTCTTTCTTACTTTTTTTCTAACTTTTGCAATTTTACATTTTTTTTTTTAATCCTGTGCTTTGCAAGGAATTTTTCATGTATACACAGTGACTAAATAAATATATCACACTACTTAAATTTTCCATGAGGCACATTTTAAAATACATAAAAACCTTTTAAATAAAATTTTAAACAATTAATTATTGATGATTAAGATCAGGTGGTAGTTTAAATTTTTCCAAATAGTTTATTGATTATTCACTAATTTATTTATGTACAGTTATAAAGTTTGTCACTTTAATTGAAGTTTTTATGTTCAATTGGCTATGATTCTAAAATTATTAAATTGATTTAAATTTGTAAAAGAAATTGTGAGTACTGTTATTTCTAATTTTATAATAATTCAGTAATTTATCTTAATAAAATAATAAACTTATTTTTTTTTCAATTTCACTCTGGTTCTTGTTTTCAGCTTTGCTACTTAAGGTTTTCTTATTTAGAGTACTAACTGTTATGCAATATAATTAATTATTAGTTTTATTTATCCGAACCTTTATGGTGCTAAGATATTTAAAAAAAATTTCAGAAGTTAAATTTAGTGATTAATATTATATGGTGCTACATTTCATTATTATGTTTCTAAAATTATTAAACAAGCAATATCAGTACATATTTTGAAACTGTAATTTCTTCAAATTTTAAATATTTATAATAAAAGGTTTTAGCATAGTAAAAACACACTAAGTAAATATATAATATTACTTGGTATACTACACCAAATTTTGAAACTGAAAAACTTCCTTCTCAGAATAAGTTATAATTGAGTAAACTACTCAAAAGTTATATTTTTTATAAAGCAACTTTTAAGGCCTGTTTAGATGATCCAATTTCTTGAAAAGAGATTGATTGATATTGATGGAAACTTGTTTTTCTTTGAGCTTGGATCGTGTAAACAAACATCCAACTACTTGGTCCAACTTCTTGGACGATAGTAGATCACATTCTACTTTCCATCCAAGTTTTTCCTCCTTTATCCAATCAGCGTTTTAGGTTTTGTGACGTCAACATGCAAGCAGCAAATTATGTCATTTTGGTGTCAGTTTTCATATATTTTAGTCTAAGTAAATTGATCTGTTGCGGTTTATTTGTATTATTATAATTTTATTTGAATATATTTAGTAATTTTAAACTTGTGTAAGCATTATTTTATAATGTTGAATATGAACAATGCGCATGCGCAAGTTTTTCTTTCAATGAATCAGTGACATTCAAGAACTTGGATAGTGTCGATGAATCAGCCAATTTCTTGGACAGAGAAATCCTTCCAATTTCTCGGATTTGAAAACTTGGTTAAACAAAAATATTGTCAATTGATGAATTTGCCTGCACTCTAATTAGTCTTTTTTTCATTCCTCTTCCTTAACATTTTCTTTTTATTGCTCTTTTTACAATTTTATACCTTATCTTTCTTATGTTAATTCTCAGTAGTCTATCTGCTCACTAAGCATTAAAAAATTTTAAATTTAGAATTGTTCTGTTGTAAAATTTTTGCCGTTAACTATATTAATATTACTTCTGTTTGTATAGGGATTCCCAGGATTAGATGGTTCTAAAGGAGAACAGGGAACTGCGGGTGAAAAAGTAATTATTTGTGATTATGTTTTTTGAAATTATACTTCATAAGTCTGATTTTTTTCTATTTAAAGTACATATTATTTGTTTACTCTTGTCAAGTGCTTGATAATTATTTTCATTTTAGGGAGTTGTTGGGGTTCCTGGAAAGATGGGTGTTGTAGGACCAATGGTATGTTTTAAGTTTTGTTATTTCACGTTTTGATTATATTAGTAGAGTTGATATAGTCATGCTCCCTTAAATGTATTCCAGATAATCAAATTACCTGCTTGTACAAATATAATATTGGATATGAAACCAATGTTAAATGTCCTCATTTAAACCATTATTTAGGGTGTCAATCCTCTATTAAATGCATAACAAAGAGAAGAAATGACGAATTTTTTTAATAAATGTTTTACAAACTAGAATAGAATTTCCATTTTAAAGCTAAGAAGAGAATAAAATACATGGTCACTTCAACAGGGACTTCCTGTTCATTTCTCAATCCAAACAGATTAAGGAGTAGGGTAACAATCAGACAAATCTTGTTAGTAGTTATATAGCAATGAGGTGATTTTTAGCCCTGTTTGACGTACTTCATTTCGTAAAAAGATAAAACAATCTCCTATTGTAGATTTCTTCGGAAGGAAATGGATAGTATTATAATATGTATGTGTAAAATATTTAATAAGATGCGATTGTTTACATGTGTGTAGTAAATAGACATCTTTCAACATTTAAGCATAACTGGACTCTGTTCTAGAGTTTACTGCTTATAGATTATAAGTTTGCTTTAATTTTTTTAAAATAAGAATTTTTGTTTCAGGGACCTCCTGGTCCAAGGGGAGAACGAGGACGAGAAGGCACACCAGGACCACCTGTATGTATTAAATTTGTACAATCTTTATCACTTATGTAGTTACAATTTTATAAAATTTTATGGGATATACTTAAACTTTTCAAATATTCATATTTTATTTATTTTTTGAAACATTTTTTCCCTCAGACATTAAATTATCAAGCAATTTAAATAAAGATACATGAATAATTTTTGTTTTGTTGACAGACGATTTAAATCCTATTTATATTTTATGTTTCAAAATCTGTTTTTATAAACTGAAATATGCATTTTTTTTTTTTTTTCATTTTTTTTAGAATTTCAAACTTTTATTGTTAAAAACAATATATTGAGGAACGTTTCTGCTTGGAAATAATTTCATTGTAATAGTTTGTTAATTTGACATAATTTACACTAATAGTTGTACATAATTGGAATTTAAAACATCTCAGTCATTTTTCCAAATCATTCACAAATAAGTTTCTATATATACATTTTTCTAGGGCTTAAGAGGAGTTGATGGGTTACCCGGTCAAACAGGACCAACTGTAAGTAATATTTTGTGTTAATTTTAGAATTTATTTTTTCAAATTAATTTTTATATTTATTGTTCACTTAAAATGTTTAAACACTATTTGTTCATAAAATAATTTAAAATTGTGATGAAATATTCTTTTGTGAAAAAATAATCTGTGAATATTTTTCTTTAAATTTAACTTAATTTTAAATGAGTATGTTATAATTTTAACTAATAAATGTCAAGTTTTTATAAAATCAACTCAATATTATATTTGCATTTTATTTGCAACTCATATTTTCATTCTCCTTCCATTTTTTTTATCTTTAGAAATCAGATAAGAATTGTTTAGGAACTTCATAATATTCTTTAAGTTTTATTATTTAAATTCTTATTTGCTTTAAATGGACTGAATGTAATATTTTTTTCTATACTTTTATTTCAAACACTTCACTAAATAGATTAAATCAGATATATTCTGCCGTGTGTGCATTTTTTTTATATCAAAAATAAATCTAAATATATACAAAATTAGCAGAGTTAATTCTTTTCAGACACACATAAGGTGCATGGCAACAAAATAATCATAATGCACCTGCTAAGGTTTTTCTTTAAACTGAATTGCTTAGTGCTGAATTGCTTACTGCATCAATGGCGTTTTGATATCAGAATGTTCTTTAAATATATTTCTGGATCTGTGAAAAATTTCCTATTGTTTTATCTAATAGTTTTTGAGTTATGACAATGAGAACTCCATTCAGCAAAAATATCAAATGAGATGCTGATGAGGGCAGTAACATTCTTTTAATGTAAAGAGAGAAATTATAAAAATAAATACATTGATTTATAATACTTGAAATACATTTTTAATATAAAGAGAGAAATTATAAAAATAAATATATTGATTTACAATACTTCCTTNTTTGAGTTATGACAATGAGAACTCCATTCAGCAAAAATATCAAATAAGATGCTGATGAGGGCAGTAACATTCTTTTAATGTAAAGAGAGAAATTATAAAAATAAATACATTGATTTATAATACTTGAAATACATTTTTTAATATAAAGAGAGAAATTATAAAAATAAATATATTGATTTACAATATTTGAAATACATATTTTAATATAAAGAGAGAAATTATAAAATAAATATATTGATTTATAATACTTGAAATACATTTTTTAACATAAAGAGAGAAATTATAAAAATAAATATATTGATTTATAATACTTGAAATACATTTTTATAAGCTGTTTTCCAAACAATTAAATATAAATTTCTTTCCTGTAATTATAATCAAAAATTTTTACTTATGTTATGTAAAATAATAGTTTCTATAAAAATAATAAAATATATGATTATAAAACAAATCTAAAACACATATTTCAGGGACCAATTGGAAGATCTGGACCACCAGGGTTCCCTGGATCTCCTGGATTAAAAGTATGTATTTTTGCTTTTACCTTAATTTGTATTTTAAAATTAAATAAATATTCGGATTGGATGTGTAAATAAGAAATAATATTAACTGTTTATTGATTATAAAAGTTTCTATAGATTCAGGACCGCAGCAAGCTTTTAGATAAAAATCCTAATTTATAGTAAGAAGAATAAATTATAAAAGTAAGTTTAAAAGAGTAAGAATATGAAATACAACCCTTTTTATTGTTTTTCCTTACCCTTTTTCTATTTAACCAAGAAACAACAGTGTTTACTTTTGTCTTTTTTTTAGAGGGTGATAATTACAGGCTTCTCAATATCATATTAAAATTATTATCTTTTGATGGATAACTGTAAAAAATCATTCCATTATCCAATAAATTTTAACTTTCTCTTACAAGTGCCTGATCTCTTAAGTATTGTCATTAGTAAAAAAATATTATTGGTTAATTTATTTAATTGGTTAATTTATTTATTTTTCTGGGAAGAGCTTGTAGAAATAATGCTTTGGATCAAAGTTTGTAATTCACGATTGCAATGCTCGAATACGCTATCTAGGGAGATGACCAGTTCCTTGTCTTGACCCTTTCTCTTACCCTCTGCAAATATATTATGATATTTTCCCCTTCCATAATATTTTTCTTATTTAACTGTCAAAAGTATCAGAACTATATTTAATGCACTTTTGAGTTTCATACTGTCTCCTCACTTAAATTTTAATCTGTTTAAAAATCAAGACAGAAACTAATGTACTTCCTTCCCTATGACTATCCATATACTAATGGTGAAAGAATGAGGAGTATTGCCATAGGTAGGCCTGTAGCCTAATATGATTGCAAATTCTCACCTAACAAATATAATGTTTTTTTTTATTATTTGAATTAGTTATTCTGAAATAAAATAAAAATCATTTATTTTTAATTTTTAATTCTAAATTTTGACTAATGATTTTCATTATCCAACGCATATTTTCAGCTGAAATTTATGTGATTATAGATTTGATTGTGTGATAACGTGAAATTGTGTCTGCTGGCATAAATTATTTTAATTATATCAAATGCTTATTGAAAAATCACTTACTGCTAAAAAATAACATGTTTCTGTCTGACACAAAAATGGAGTTATTTCACAGGAAATGAATTTAAGTCAAAGCTTTGTAAGCTACAAGTTATTTTTAAAGAATGCAAAAAACTTACATTGTAACAAATGTAGAGATTTCTTTTGCGTAAATTAAAAAATGAATCTTTAGGAAAATTCTTAGTTTTAGTATCTTCATTGCTGGATTTTTTCCCACCAAAATTATCTTCTGTTATTTTGTTTTCAACAAAGATTTTCTGTCCATTTACATACTTTCGTCCTTGAAAAATAAAATAGTCCCAGCTGCTCAGTTGCTAAATTTTCTTCATCTCTTCACAAAGTTTAGCTTAAAAATATCCTTTTTCTCAACAAAAAGTTTTCCCTTTTTACAATTTTATGATTTTTTTAAGGAAAGAATTCTTTTTTTAGTTCAAGCATTTCATTTCAAAATTTATTCAATTTTGTATAATTGATTTGAGAAAATTTTAATAAAAATGTAAACATTTGATTAAAAAAAATCATGCAAAGAGTAATCCAATTTTTTTATTGAATAAAATATCAATTTTTAAAAGTAAGTTTTATACTTATAATATATTACGAAATATATATTTCTGATGCTGCATGGAAATAATTTTATCAAAATCTTGTTATCAAAATCAATTTTTTTTAAATAGTTTGAAAAGTAAGATGAATGAATCTAGACCAATTAATTACTTTCGACCATTTTTGCATACATAATTAATTGCATACTTTTTACTTACTTTAAATTGTTTATAAAGAAAGGCATAAACTGTAATTTATCTAACCTTACCCATATTAGCATGTCAAATGATATCTCTATCCTTTTTATTTGAGATATGTCAACCTTAATTCAAATTTTTATGTTTATTTTAGACTAACTTTGAATGATAATTTATTTTTATCTATCTGATATGTAAAATTCGTCCTAATATACTAAATGCTTTATAAACTCATACTAGTGAAACTTTCAAAAATTTATTTGCTATATTGGCAGTAATTCACAAGAGACAATAGATTTTAAAAACTTTTACATTCTACTTTTATTCTTTATTTATTTTTTAGGGTGAAGCAGGAGCTTTAGGTGCTAAGGGAAATCAAGGTAGCCAAGGTGTTAGAGGAGAAGCTGGTACTCCAGGACTAAATGGTGAAAGAGGACCTCAAGTATGTATTTTTTTATAAGTATTCTATCATATGCATGAAGACCAACTGCTTGCCTTTTACTTGAATATTTCATTTAAATATGTTTTGAAGGAAAATGTGCATAAGTTTTATTTTCTCTTTTTTGCTTTTCTTTAAATTAAGTTATTTACCTGAATTAAGTAAAAATTAATAATTTTTTGCTGGAATAAATACAAAAACTAAAGAACTCTCCACCATCATGTGATGAGGCATTTAAATTATTCTTTTGAGTTCATTTGTAACAAGTGTGTTAAATATGTTCTAAAACAATTAAGGTCTATTATCATTTTTGATGCTTATATTAATGCTCAAAAGATAAAAACATTTTAAAATCATGAAGCAACTTCAAAAAGCAGTTTTGACAAATCTTATCTTTGAAGAACTTTAAATCAACTTTAATTCAACTTTAAACCAAAACAAATTCTTCGGTAACAGAAACAACAAAAGAAGATTAATTTTTAATCATTGAAAAATTTAGAACCATTTATATACCTATAAAGCAAACAAAGGGTAATGCTGATATTTTGATTGTGGAAATAGCACTTATTATTTCACAAACTTATCATTATTCTACTATTATTTTTGAAAACTAACGATTGTTAGCAATCAAGACAGATGAAACTCCCCCTGACGTGGAAATTTCTTTACTTTATCCTGAAAAATGTATTGTATGGCAAAGAATTTATTCCTCAGAAGTTAAGAAAGGTTAAACACAAGTTATATTTTGTTTCTGGAGACTTTTTTTTCTAAACTTCATCTGCTTTTCATGAAAATAAGGCTTTATAAACCATGAATTTATTACAGATTTATAAGAGCCCAAATAAATTTTTTATCAGAGCTTTATGTGTAGAGCTTATCCATCTTTTCCCCTTCTGAATTATCCAGCCATAGCTGTTCAAACCAGTTTGCAATTGTTTTTTTTATTTTTATTTTTTTTTATGAATTTCAGCCTTCAGATATTTGAAAATCACTCTCTTAATCAGTCTTGCACACTCTTGTGAGACTTCCAATCCTTTTATCATCATCATAGTTGGACAGACAGCCTAATGTGGACCAATGCCTTCCTAAGTTCCAAAATATTACAGAAATAATTTATTCTTCTGTAATAACAGCTTTGAAATTAAAGTTTCTCAATATAGTCTACTAACGTAAGCAATCGCTTCTTAATCCAAGGGTTGTAATATGAAAATCAGTCATTAGAACAGTTTTACCTCAGATTAAAAGGAATGTTGAATAACCCAAGTGTTGTGCAGTCCGACTTCAGATAATCAGGTTTATATATCTATCCACTTTTTATGTTTATTTATATTCACTTTATCTCACTTTTTTGAATTCCAGGGTGCTCCCGGGAACGATGGTCTTCCTGGTGAAAGAGGTGCTCCTGTAAGTACAGCAATTTATTTTTTAAAAGGCACATTTCAAGAGAATCTCTTTTTCATATTTTTATTCAATACATCCTTAGGGAGATAGAGGAGCAAATGGTATTTCTGGATTCCCAGGTGCTGCTGGACCCCCTGGTCTTACTGGAAGTCAAGGCTTGCCCGGACCTAAAGGTTCACAGGTCAGTCATATTATAGTATTCATATTATATTTGTTATTTCAATTTTATTAGTTATTTAAAAAATAAAATGTTATTTTCTTAATCTTAAAAATTATTCTTTATATGGTTCATCTTTTTTTAAATCTAAAAGAAATATCCTAAGAAATATATTAAAAACTTCTAAAAAATTTTATAATATTTAAAAAAAAAAGAGAAAAAAATTTCAAAAACTTTGTCTGTTACAAAATTATCATATTGGGTATTTTACAATTAAATTTATATAGTGATTTGCATAAAATTTCTGTCGGTATTTTTCACCTCATTAAAAAAATTTAAAAAGTTTAAAAAAAATTCAATAAAATGCTTCTATAAAAATAGTGCATTGTCACTTGCCAGTCCTAAGATCTCCCTTTTCTAAAAGTTCTGAAATTTTCCTCATTGCCAAAACTATATCATACCTTTTAAAACAGTATTAAAACTAGTAAATAAGATTTCTTATTCAATTGAGGGGCAAAGAGTAAGAATATATATTATTAACTCAAAATTTCAGTTGCACCTTACTGTGGAATCATTCACTAATTTATTTTTGTTTTAACTTTGACCTATAAAAGTGAGGTTTACTTTCTTGACCCAAGGTTTTCATATTTAATTAAATGATTTTATTTTTATTTCGAGTTCTACATTTTCTGACCTGTTTTTCTATAAGGGAATTATTGACTTCTTTGTTTAAGTTTAAAAATTATGCTAATGATTAATATATTTTTAATATATTTAAAAAAAAAATTCTCATGAAGCAGCATTTGAACAAAAATATTGTTAGTTTATACCATTCTTTCAAGCAAAATAGTTTTCTTAATCTTTTTTAATGCATTTTATTTTAATTTTTGTGATTCACATACATTTTATAAAATTAACTTTATTATTAAATTTTTTTAGTCAGAATAATAATAAAATTTTATCTTTATTTTATATTGATCATATCTAATCTTATATTAATCGTATCTTTTTATTCATCATTTTGAAATATAATACTAGGGTAATAGAGGTGAGCCTGGAATTAGAGGAGAAGGTGGAAGAAAAGGTGAAGTTGGAACTGTAGGGCCTAGAGGTTTACCAGGAGTGCAAGGAAATCAAGGAAAAAGAGTGAGTCAGAATTTGATTTTATAACCTTCATGATTAAAAAAAAGCTTTTATATATTTATAAATTAAACAAAATATTTGTAATATTCTAAAGCAAAATATTATGACATTATATTAAGTGTTGAATAACAGGGATAAAGTTCTAACACATGTAATATATGTATGTAGTTGGAATCATATCTAATCACTTGAAAAATAGCAATAAAAATGTGTAGAATTGTATTTGTCAGTAATTATCATTAGAAAAAAGTAATTATTTCTAAAAATTATAAAAATTTGATGAATTGTGTAATCAAAAAATGAATATAATATTGAGTATTATGACTTTTTATATGAATATAATAATGAGTATTTTAATGCACAGAATGGGAAAGAAATGGACCATCTAAATAACTTTTTATTTAATAACTGAATCTTCATGTTCTAGGACTCAGTGTTAGTGTTTAAAGGTGGTGACCTCAAATATGCTAATTAATTAGTGCAGTGAATATTTTAAAAATGCAAAATCAGCCGCAAAAATTTACTTTCTCTGAATAAATATGCATTTTTTTTCAACAGATTTGGCTCTCTGAAATATAGGGGATAACTGCAATCTGGGGAATATGGTCCTAATTTATTTTCTAAATTTAGTGGATAGTTCCTAAGAAATCGAATTCTAAACAAATCATATGTTTAAGGTTCAATTTCTCAGAAAGCGTGCGACTGATTTCTCTCAAATTTTTCATTTTGTCATGTAAAAATACCTACTTTAAAATCATGTAAAACTGTATACTCTTCATTTCAAAATCTTTTCTTTTTTAGTAAAATAATGAAAATCAGTAATTATTAACTAAAAGCTATTTTTTGCATGGAATTATATTTGCAGAAACAAATTTTATAAGTGTGTGCAAAAATTTTAATAATTGTTTAAAAGTAAAATTAGCACGAAAGGGTTAAAACTTTGGACTGCACTTCTAACCAAAATAATGGAACAATATTTCCCGAATTGTGGCTACCCTCTTTCCCTCATTTTAAGGATCAGGAATCTGAATGTGTTGTAAAAAAAGGTACGATTTTTCAGAGAAAGTATGCTTTTGTCTGATTTTATAAGTTGAAATACCTAATTAATTACTAATTAATTGGCATATTTGAAGTTATGATCCGAGAACCATTAAATTGAGTCCTAGAATGTGAAAATTTGATCATTAGATGAAATGTTTTTCAGGGTGGTCTGTTTATTTATTTATTTTTTTTTTACTATTATTTTTTGTGCACTGTGCATACTCATGTATAAGATTTAAATTAACCAAAACAGAAAAGGAGGAATGTGTTTTGTTTTGCAACTTAATTTGATCTCCTCACTGCGGAAGATCTACATGATTCCTTCTATTTCAATCTCTTTGTTCATTTTTAATGCAGTTTATTACAAAAGAGTTTTCTCCTTTTACGAAAATAAAAGATATTTTTGCAATGTTTCACTTCTTCGACTTTAAGGATGTTGCTGACCGGCCTGTGTAGGGGTCAGAGAACTGGCTTTGCATCAGAAAGGTTCTGGGGGGGTTCGAATCCTGGGCAAAGCATGGATGTTATTTCCTTCTATGTACTATCTGTCTTTACTGTGGGAGCAACGTTGGCCAACCTAATATCCAACAACTATGTCCTTCAGATGTCTGTATGATTAAAAGTTGCTCTCCAGGTGGGCATAGCAAAAAAATGCACTTTTAGGATGTTTAATCTGACAGTGAACAGTTGAAAACTAGCAACAACAAAAATTGTGATCTAATATTTTTTAACATTTTAAATTATTATTTAACACATTGGCTGTTTTAAATTTTTAAAACTTTATCTAACACTTAAAATTAAAAGTCTAAGTTTGCTGTAATTGATTTTTCTCTTTTAAGCAATTCTTTATAGTTTTATTTTATTTATACTTTTATTTATTTATTGTATTTTTAAAGTGATTATGACTCTTTACATGAAATATGCATCTTTCTGACTTATCATCGAATAATTATTTTACACTCTTAGAAAATACAGAAAGTTTGTTCATTGTTTGTTAATAAGTTAGTAATAAAAGTTTGTTCATTGTTTGTTAATTTTAGGGAAAAGCTGGTCCTCCTGGCCCTGTAGGAGCTCCTGGTGTTCCAGGTGAAAGAGTAAGTATTATTTTACATTTTATACTCCAAAATTACTTTTTTTGTAAACTTAAATGCATGTATTTATATTGAAATTTTAATTAGTCATTAAATGTACACTATTTATTATAAATCACCTTTTAGTTCATGTATATTCCAGGGACCATCAGGGCTCAGAGGACTTCCTGGCCCTGAAGGTGCTGCAGGCATGAAAGGTCTTACTGGGGATCGAGGTTTAGAAGGCCCATCAGGTCCTAAGGGTGCTCAGGTAGGCTAGTTTTATTTTGATTAATAGTAGTGTTTGGTACATAAATATATTGTTTTCATATGAATTTATTTTTATTTTAGGGTGAAGGTGGACGACAAGGTCCTCCTGGTCTTCAAGGATTGCGGGTAAGTTTTCAATTTTTTTTTCATATCTTTGATTCCTTCTTATCAATCACACTATATAACATTATTATTTATTTTTGTACCTCAAAAATGGAATGTAATAGAATCACTAATTTTCTAATACTTGATCATGTGCACACAAAGTGTTAATTGAAGCAACTATTATGCTAGCATGCCTAAGAAAAATGTTTGTAACACTATTAATAGATAAACAATTATTATGTCTTATTATAATAAAATATGTAAACCTATTAAACTATTTAAATTCATTATAAATTTTGTTAAATATTAGTCTTCTTTATTGTTTACGAAATATTTAAAAAAAAACTTATGTAGCCCAAATACTTTTATTATGTCAATTTTAAAATCTGGTGTCTAAACACATTGCAATAAAATTTTCTTGATTTTTTTGAGAAAAATAAAAAGTATCTATTTGCATATTTTTTTACCTCAAAAGTTGCTTTTTCTTTATTATATGTTTAAGTTTCTTTTTTATAATAAGAACCAATAATTTTACTTACAGTCTCATTTTTTATCAATTGCTATTCATTATCTATTTTTCTTATTATTTTTTGTTATTTTATTAACGAATTATTACCCAACAATATGATACATAATTCCTTGACTTTTTGAGCGTTTGCATCTTAATACTTTCATATGGAATTTTTCTCTGTATGTTCCACTTTCTTTGAAAGAGATAATGATTTTCAAATGTGTGAAGCAAAAATTTTTAAAATATGAAAATTCCAAATCATGCACTCATTTAATTTAGTTACAGGTACATAGGATCCTGTTGCATTGCTTTTAAAAATCATTCAGTGTATAATATGCATTCAGTATATAATAGTTTAACAGATAACCTCGTTTCTTATCCATTTTAAATTATGTAACCTAGAAGGTTATGCATCCAGTTTTTAGTATTTTAATAGATTTGGAATAAAAAATATTTTTTGAGTAGTTTTTGTGTTTCCAACTATAGATAATTAAATAATGCCATTTAAAATTCATGCTGTTTATTTTAGGTGATTGTCAAATTTTATATTGATCAGGAGGGATTAAATTTTTTGTTTGTTTAAACATTGTTAATATTTTAATTGCTGTTTGTATTGTCCTTTTATGTAAGTATATTTATGTGTCTCATATTTTTATATTTTTTCTTAGGGAACTCCAGGAGCACATGGAATCACTGGAAAAGATGGATCTCCTGGAGATAGAGTGAGTTTTTTTTTTAAATTTGAAGCATATAATAAGATTATTAAGAACATTTAAAGTAGCACAAACTTTTTTCAAACTTTTGTCATTACATTTTATTGCTTTGATCCATTGAAGGCCAGTTAAGATATCCAATACTAACTTACGAAGATGCTTATTGGATTAAAGGTAACTGCTTAGAGCGTATAATGAAACTCAGTTTTAACTCAGTTAACAGTAGTGGTTTTGTAGTCTTTTGATGCCTTTCTGAAATGTTTACCGTGAAGTGTTTTTTTTTTTTTCAATTCATTAAATTTATTTTGTTTTTGAGATTAGAAGTCCTCTAGATTCACTTAAGCTACCCAATATCATTTTTACTGCTGCTTTGTGCTATTTTAACTGATGAATAAATTAGAGTATCTTCTTGATTTTATACTATATTAAATAATTTTTATACTAAAATAATTTATGAAAGATATTTTGATTTTTAGGGAGCTCCTGGATTAGATGGAAAACAAGGACCCCCAGGCCCTCAGGTAGAATTTATCTACTGTATATTCATTTACTTGTTTATACATTTTAGTTTTTTAGCGATCAAGTAGTTCTGTGTTCAGATCTATCTACTATTTGTCTATATTCTTATGTGCAGGTAAATAGCAAAAAAACCTGTCTTAGACATTTGATAAACAATTAGGAACACACAAAGACAAACTTTCACCATCCTCCATTTATTGTTTTTCTGAAGAAATTATACGAAAGTTCTCTCATTAAATTGCATTAAGATAGAAGATCAATTTGTTCAATTGTTTTAAATTGCCTACCATGTTTTTCCTTTTATCAGCATATAACCTTAAAAATGTACTTTTTTTGTTGAAAAAGTAGCAAAATGTGTTTACGTTTTTACACTGTGAAATTTTATAAAGCAATTTTTTTACTTTCAATAATCTATTGAACTTGGGAAGAAACTTTTATTTGCCAACAATTATTATTGTATAGCTTTTATGGGAAATGAAAAATTTCTTATTTACTATTTAATTTTTTGATTCCTTAAAAATATAAAATTTATAAATGCAGTTAACAATGGTGCTTGAAATATAAATTAACTATTCTTATGATTATTTCCAAAAGTCCAAATTTTAAGTTTTGTCGAATGTTTTTTCTTTAAAAATACTGTCAGTAAAATTTTCATAACTAAGTGGTTGAATAAATTTTGTTCATTATGTAATTTAATATTTTGTTAATATTTAAATTTATTTTAGGGTACTCAAGGGGTTCCTGGATTAATAGGACTTCCTGGAATGAAAGGAGAGAGGGTATGTATGTATTTTAAAACAATTGTTTACAATATTTCAATTAAGTTCTATTTGTAAATAGTTTTTCTTGACCTTTCATGTCAAATAGGAGGTATGCAGAATTTGGTACAGTTTTGTATTAGAACTAAAGCAATAATTTCTGTTAAATTTTTGGATCTTTTCTATTTCATATTAGTTTACTCTATTATATAAAGATTAAGTTTTTATTAAAATTATCTCTTGCAACTGAATATTCTATATAACCATTAAAAAAGAGGCGGGTAGATAAGTTTTTAAAACAATATTGATTCTATAGAAAAAATCTCTTATTTGAATGAAAATTAGAAAATCTTTTTCTAAGAAGAATAACATGTGCTGTACATCTGGGAAAATTCTAGTAGAAAGCAGCATAATACAAATTTGTTTGGTTTAAAAAAATTCCATAGTTCAGCATGTATTTTAAGGAGCAAGACGTCTTAAGTTATGGTCTAAGTATATAAAGTTCTTCTCTGAGTTCAAGAGAGTAGTTAAAAGGGGAGATACCAATGTGGTGTACAGAAAAAATTATGAATGTTAGAAAAAAATATTTAAAATTGATTAACCAATATTTACCTCAGATGAGAACTGTTTTTAATATTTTTGAAAGAATTAATTTTTTAATGAGAAATTTTTTTTTATCGTAATGGAATTGCATTTTCTTGGTTTCCTTTCTGTCCTAGTCTACTTTTGTTTTGCCTGTATTATGCATGAAATAAGTAGGATTGAAATTAATGTTTACTTTGAAAGACTTCATTCATTACTCATAATGAACTTAAATGTGATTTTTAAAGCTGAAAATTGAATTACGTATTGCAGGGAGAAAGAGGTATAGACGGTTTGACAGGTTTACCAGGTCTTCAAGGAAGACGCGGTGATGCTGGAAAAGATGGTTTGCCTGGCTTACAAGGAGCTCGGGGTCCATCTGGTGATACAGGTGCAAAAGGTGAACCTGGTCCTCAAGGGTCTCGTGGCTTTCAGGTGAAACTATTTATTTTATTTAAAGTTATATGAAGAATGTAATTTATATTTTTAGGTAAAATTATATTTTACTAATTTAAACCTCTGAGAAAAGATAATATCTTGATTCATTTTTCCAAAGATATCTGACAATTTATTCAATAAGGGGTATAAATATTTTACTTTAATCGAGTGCTACTCTTCTCTTATAAAAGGGTATACCTGGTCTTGCGGGAGGAATTGGTCAGCCAGGTAAAAACGGAGAACCTGGCACACCTGGAGTTGCAGGTTTAGTTGGATCTCAAGGAAGTCGAGGAGAAAGAGGGTTTCCTGGGGAAAGAGGACTGATGGGTCTTCCTGGACCTCAAGGAATTCGTGGTGAAGTTGGACCTGCAGGAAAAGATGGAGCTATTGTAAGTCCAAGTTTTGTTTATTCTTTTTTGAAATCATGTGTTAAAATTTTTTTTATATTATTCACTTATGCATGTTTAAGTTTCAGCATTTTTTTCTTTCTTGACCTTTTAAATATGTCAATACTACCATATATACATAAGTATATTTATAACAAAAAGCCAATTAGGCCCTAGGACATGTGAAGTTTGCCACAGTTAGATATGGAGAAGAGTGACTTTCCACCTTGGAAATGTTTTTTTGTGTCTTTCTGGGAGATATAAGTAGATATGGTAGTGATCAATTTTCCATGCTTGTAAAGCTGTATCCTCAAATTTTCTATGCTTATTTAATCAATTTTATTTCACTCTTTGTGAAAAAACTTTTAAATTATCACTCATTTACTGTAGGCTCTATTTATTGATTAGTGGATTTGAACTTAATATTTAATCATTTAACATTATATATATTTAGCATGACTATATATGACTAATATTTATTGTTTTTACCTATGCAGTTTCTTTACTTCTGTTAAATTGCTTCCATTTTAAAGTCAGTTTTATTTAGAACAAGAACGTTTGTCCTAAATATTTATTTATTTGTGCTTATTTTTGTTTATGATATTTCCTTTTAAAACTTTAAAGCAAGTACTTTTTTATAGGGACCCAGGGGAGAAAAAGGTCCTAAAGGAATATCAGGAGCATCAGGCTTAGTTGTGAGTTAAAATATTATTCCTTAGTTAGTCTTTCTTTTTATATATTACTTGATAACACAACTCATTACCTGATAACACAAAAATATTATAAAGGGGCTTCCTGGTCAAAGAGGTGATTTTGGTCCTTCTGGCCCTAAAGGAGAAAGAGGTGATTCTGGACCAATGGGACTCAATGGCCCTCAGGGTAGACAAGGAGAGCCTGGTCCGATGGGATTAGTTGGTCTCACTGGTTTACAAGGAGAAACAGGAGAGAAGGTAATAGATAAAAAAATTTCTTTTTATCTGAAATTTAAATATGGAATTAAATCATTCTTCTTCTTTACTTCTAAACTTTTTATAAATTATTATTCCAAGTTAATTGTTGAAAGTCATTCAATTTTAAACCTCTTTTTATTTAAAAAGGGTGCACTTGGTCAAGTTGGACCTCAAGGAAATCCAGGTCCTCAAGGTATTCAGGGTGATAAAGGGCAACAAGGTGCGCAGGGTCAACAGGGATTTCCAGGGCCGATTGTGAGTATTGATGTACTTTTTTACTTGTATTTGTTGTATCTAACAAAAACTAAAAATGTTCTTCAGGTGATTGATTGTCAAATTGATTGTCAATGCTTTTTAATTTTAGGGTATACCTGGACCTCGAGGAATAAAGGGTGACCAAGGATTGATTGGACCAAAGGTTTTTATTATATTTTAAACTTTTTGTTAACTATATTTATGGTTATTTACTTGTTATATATTTATTACAATTATGTGTTTTAACAGGGTGAAACAGGAGATAATGGTTTACCTGGTCTCCCTGGAATTTCTGGTATACAGGTAAATAATTTCATTTTCTAAATGGCATGTTTCTATAACCTTAAATGAACTGTATTAAAATGATTAAATGTACTTTTCAATATTGTTTCAATGTATATATATGTTTTATTTATTTTTAAACAGATTTTTTTCCTTCCTTAAATTTACTAGTGATGCATGCATAGCATGTAACAAAGCTGCTAATCTTTTATCAAAGTAATCTGTATATTTCATCTATTTCACATTTAGGTTCTGATTTTATATTAATCTTTTATTAAAATTTTTTTCTCTGTGTCATTAGGGTCTGCAAGGAATTACAGGATTAACTGGAGCAAAAGGAAATGATGGGAAAAAGGTATTTTTCCTTCTATTGCAATTTAAATGTTCTAAAATTGTTATCAATTTAAAAGGCATTCAATTCATTTTTTAAACAAAAATTATTTTTTTAAATTTTTTATTGATTTTAATTTTAGAAAATGTTTTATTTTGTCAATTTCTTTGCTATATTTACTGAATGCCTTTATGTACTTTTTAATTAACTTAATTATCTTTTCTTTTTACATTTTTTCAAAATCCAAAATTTATTTTATTAAATTTATAGTTAATTATCAGTAGCTTTTTAATTTTAAAACATGTTTTATAATATTTGCACTATCTTGTTGAGGGATTCTACAAATTAGTGATGATTTAAAGCATGCAATTTCCTAAGATAAAATTTTGTTTGAAAAATAGTTTGAAAATGTTTCAAATAGTAAATATTTTTTATATATTATAAGCAGAGTTTAAAAGTTTGTATTATGTTTTTGTATTTTTATTTTTCAATGTATTTGAATGGGAAGTATGACTTGTTAATAAAGTTCAAGGTCATATTATATGAGATTCAAGAGGAAATTTACATTTATTAACTCTTACTCTTCATATCTGAGTAAAGTTGACAAAATTATCACTATTCTAATCTATGTTTATTCATATAGCTCACAAATCATTGACATTTTGAGACATGTTGTTGACATGAGATAAAGGTAAAGGACAAATGAGAATTTTTGTGTTCTCAAGATAGATTATCTAAAGACACATACACTTGTTGACTGCCAAAAACTTAGATTTATTGGAGTTATCACTATACATGATTTAAATTAATATATTTTCATATTTTGACTTCTTTTTTTAAGCCATGTTAATGACAAAAGTTAAATACACTGTTTTGAAAATAAAGCAAATCTTACTAAAACTGCAAGAAGCAACTTTCTTGAAAACAATAAGTTATTAAACTTGTGTTTTAACACTGTTACCACTTTTGAAAATTTTAAACTTGAAAAAAAGCATATTTGTATTTTTAAGTCATGAGGATGACCAAAAAGCCATGGAACAGAATATTATTTCATGTTTGAGATAAAATTAATATTTGATTTTATTTATATATTGTTATGAATATTCTATATACCTGTTCAACAGTGAAAAATTAGTAAGAAAATCAGTTATAACTTTTGTTATAAACTCTTTAGAACACTCCAGAAAATTTATTTACCTTTAAAAAAATAATATTGTGATATGGCTATAGATCAGAAATATAGGGTTGCAGAATTATAAGACAATTTTTCAATCGCTCATACCAAAGAAGAATATCAGTTTTGAACACAAATATTACCAAATTTGTAGAAATGGAATGTTATATTTGTCATATCTGTATGTTTTTAATTTATACTCTTTTTAAATTTGTGAATATCTCATTTTAGGGACATGCTGGATTTCCTGGAACACCTGGCCTTCCAGGAAATGCAGGAACACCAGTAAGAACTTTTAAATATTGTAATATATCCTTAAATTTAAAATTTATGCTGATTACATGTGTTGAGTGTTCCAGTAACTGTAATAGTAAGTTACATATCTAATTCAGCCTTTTTAAAAGTATCAGATTGCAACTATTTATTTTTGCAAGTTTTGTTCATGGCAATAAGTGCAGCATTTGCCAAAAATGTTATTTCTTATGAATTTGGGCAGATAAATTAAGAAAAGAAGTAACAAAACATAAATTAAAAAATTATTATAATTTAAAAGTTCCAATCACAATCATCACATTACTCTGATTCTTTATTAAGAATAGTAACAAATTTTGTTTTCTAAATGGTAGTATATAAGTTACCTTTAAAAAAACTTTAAAATTTAAGACTTTATAATTTTTATTGCTCATACTAATTTGTTTTTAAGTACATTTGCATGGTTTTTTATACAATAAATATTTTTTTTTATGTTAATATTTATCTGCACCCAGATTGAAAATTAAATTATCCATGTGTTAATCATTCATTGTACTTTTAAATAGAATCTAAATGGGCCATATGTTTTTAAAACTACAGCTTCATGTAAATGTTGGTTCCCAACATAGTATTTTCAAATTTTTATGACCTACTACCCAAATTTGATTGTGTTTCCCTACTTTTTTATAAGACTTTTGACCTTTTATTTGCATTGTTTTTGAAATTATTTTATTATCATTGGTCTATTTTATTCCTGGTATTAGTATCAAATAAATTACTGTCCTTAAAACATATAACAGTTTTTACTCTTTTTTTTATTTATTAAGCTGGAAAATGAGGATTGCGCTAATAAATAATTAAAAATATACAGAACATCTAAAAACAATGTCTTGCTCATTGTGTATATATTGCATATATATATTGATATTTGAACTTACTCTTTCACAAATATATGCTTTTATTTTTTTCTATGGAGATGTTGCTCTTTTAAAAAAGTAAACATAAGGCATTTCTGTTCTTTACTAGGATACTTTTGGACTGCAGATTTGCTATTATTGATTAAATTATAGAAATTAATCTATAATAGCAAATCTGCAGTCCAAAAGTATCTTTATTAGATATTTTGAATCTGAATTTAAAAAATTTATAGCTTTTAAAAGTAATTTTAGCACTTTAGGTAAAGAAGCACACATTTTAGAATTAATTTGATCGATGTGTTCTAATGTGCATATTGTAATATTCATAGTATATGTGCATATTGAAATATTTTTATTTAAGTGAAAAAGTCACTTTAAAAGAGTTTTGACTTTTTTATTTTTTCAGGGTAAGCAAGGCAATCCAGGACCTTCTGGCTCTGTTGGCTCCCCAGGTTTGACGGTATGAATTGTTTTCTTAGATATTAATTTAATGTAACGAATATTTGTCAATTTCTGCAATGAAATTTCTTACTTATTCAGGGTCACAAAGGTGATTCTGGAAGGCATGGTGCTCCAGGCCCTGCAGGTAATCCTGGAATTCCGGGTATTCCTGGTGCTAAAGGTGATGTAGGATCTGAAGGAAGGCCTGTAAGAATCTTGGTTTTTAGCTTTTATTAATTACATAGCTATATAGTTTTTAGTTTAGGTTTCATGATACATATATATGAACATAGTTATTCTAAAAATCTGAATTGTTTCAATTTTAAAAGGAATACATTTTTTTATTAGTTAAAATAATAATAAGAGAATTAAGCTTGTTAGTCCCGTACTGCAATCTCTCATCTACTGTTTGACATTTTTTGTCTTAAAATATTATAATTTATGGTTATTTTATCTAGAAAATGTGCAATATTTAATTTATCTAAAGTAAAATAAGAAATATATTTAAGCATCATAAGCAAATGTTTAAAATAAAAAGGTTTTCAGACCAAAGGAAAATCACACAATTAGATAAACTTGTACAAATTATATGTTTGATTGAAATAATTATTGGATGTTGTAGGAGCTCTATAAACTTAATTTTGCCCCTTAATAAACTAATTAAGCCCTTTGTTACAACCATATAAAGCTTTGTTTATATCGGAAAAAAAGTATGAACTATTTAAAAAAAATATTGTCAAAGTGATATAAGTTACTTTTGTATAATTGTATTAAAATTACTGTTATGATAATATTTACTATTTTAGTTCGGAAGAAAAAATGAGTTGTAAATGCTATTTTAATTTAAGTTGATATTATAAACATTAACTGAAATTTGTTTTCTTACTAAATCAACTGATTGATTTAATATTCTTTCTTCCATGGCTATATTCTTTGTTTTCCTGAATGTGTCTGCCTTGATTTTAAGGAAACTATTACCAAACATTATTTCTTTCTAATGCAGTAATTATTATTAACAATACTACAATAAGCAAAAAAGTATATCACTTTGAATAGCTTTTGTTCTAATGATTAGATTTTCACAAACAAAAAGTCAATTTGACCTAAAGGTTTAAGAGTTGACCATTAATTAATTAGTGCTAACTATTAATTACATTATGAAATCTAAAAGAAAAGCATACTTTCTCTAAATCAACATCTTTCTTTTGATGGATTTATATTTTTGCAGTTATTAACAGTTAAGCATTCTATTAATTTGTCTACGTATTTCTTTCTCCTGACCTTTTCCATTTCATTTTAAACTTCTTCTGCGCATTATAATAGGGAGCGTTGGTTTTTCAGTTTTTAGTGTTTTCTTTTCTTCTACTTGCTTTTGAAGTTGATGCTTGACCTGTGACTTAGTGAGTTTTTATTTTTCTGATGATTTTGATTGAGTTTCTTTTCTTAATTTGTTAATTATTTTGAATGTATCTTGTTTTTCCTGGACCTATATACAAAACCATTGGGGTACTGAGGGAGATATTTTAAGCATTTGCTTCTCCCTCAAATAGAAATGGTTTTGTTTTTAATGGCTACCGAGGCCGGTACCCCCTGAAGACGTCGGCTTCGGTGGTCATATTTTTATTTTTATTTCATTCTTTAAATATTTAGTAGCTGATGTTTTACTTTTTACATAGACTTAATTTGTACACATTTGCATGCTTGACGCGTTACTATTTTTAAGCGTTTCTTCAAAGGGCTTTTAATTTTGCATCAATTTTACACGTTTACTATTTATTCTTGTGCATTACTTTTAAACGTGATCATTTAATTTNATTTAATATTCTTTCTTCCATGGCTATATTCTTTGTTTTCCTGAATGTGTCTGCCTTGATTTTAAGGAAACTATTACCAAACATTATTTCTTTCTAATGCAGTAATTATTATTAACAATACTACAATAAGCAAAAAAGTATATCACTTTGAATAGCTTTTGTTCTAATGATTAGATTTTCACAAACAAAAAGTCAATTTGACCTAAAGGTTTAAGAATTGACCATTAATTAATTAGTGCTAACTATTAATTACATTATGAAATCTAAAAGAAAAGCATACTTTCTCTAAATCAACATCTTTCTTTTGATGGATTTATACTTTTAGCTATCAAATCATATGCCCAATAGTTTAGTCCAGAGTGCTATCAAAATTCGGGGTCTTTATTATTAATTTCCTATTTTGCTTATTTTGTCACATGTCTCAAATTTTTCAACTAATTAAAATACCTTTCGCATTAAAATATTATATTTGTTTATCTGAACATATAAATTATTTAAAAGGTAATTTTTAATTATCTATTATTTTGAATTATTATTTATTTTTCTTATTGATAGTAAAAAAATTTAAATTGTATGTTATACATTTCTAAACTATGTAGTTTTTAATGACAAAAGAACAAATTAAACAAAATTGATTGAATAGTTCTCGTGAAAAGAAATTTGAAAACATATTTTATGCGAAATTTTATAACCTATTATATAACTTGATCTACTGTGCTAAATTTTCTTATTTGAAATGAAACAGTTTAAAATAATTTTTATACCATACATTATTAAAAAGTTTTCGACCATTGTTAAGAAAAATTTTAAATAATTATTAGAAGCAAATTTTATAATTGGAATTTTCTTCGGAGAAACAAATTCTATGATTTTTTTTGCAAAATGTGACTTTCTCTCAAACACTTTCTTTTCTGTACTATTTGAACCATATTTTCCAGATTGCCACTACCCTTTATATTTTGATGATTAAAAATCTAAGTCTGTAGAAGAGAAATCATGTTTATTTAGAGAAAGTGCATTTTTGTATCTGATTCCATAATATGATGTGCGCTATTTAATTAGCATATTGGATGCCAACTTTCGAGCTGTTTAGATTAGATCTTAGTTAAATTAGATCATAGGAACAAAAAAAGTTGGGGGGCTCTTATTTTTTTGGCTCTTGTTAATACCTGAACATACAAAAATTGTTAATTCCTAACCTTAAATACATTTTTTCATCACTTTAAAAAATAATGTAAAGCTGTAGTTTATCTTATTACTTAGAAAGCCTTTTTTTATCTATTTACTATTTTAGTTCATAGAAAAAAAATCTTCATCCAAACATTCTTGTGCCTCAAAGGTTTAAAGATATACATTTTTAAAAAATGCATTAAACACTTTTAATTCCTATGCATATTTTTTGCTGTATCAAATGTAGCCTATTTTATACAATAATCTTCTGTAAAGAAGTTCCAAAATAATTTTTAAACTGTTATTATTTTTATAACTATTAAGATTAAAATTTATAAATCAGAATCATATTTATAAATTGGATAAGAAGGCTTATAATTTTGTAGTGTTATGCTTGTGCTCCGTAATTTGTTTTCAAATATCATAATAATGTATCCCAATTAACAATATTTATGTGAATATTTACAATTCTTCAATCAAAATCATTGATGCATACTTTCCTAGTTTCTATTTACCCCAAAAATGTTTTATTATCTTAAGTTTAGATGCAAGCTTATTTTATTATTATTGGCTTAAATATTATGTACCTAAAATACCATAGTGTTTTATTTTTGATGATGTAATTGATGATATTTTTTTAGGGGCCACAAGGTCCCATTGGACAACCTGGCCCAATTGGAGATAAAGGTCCACCTGGTTTACCTGGTCTCCAAGGAAGAAATGGTCCACATGGAGCAAAAGGATCACAGGTTTTATATAAATTTAATAAATTACTTTTTAGCTTGATTATTCCATTTCATAATTAAATTATTTTACATTCCATAAATAACTTCAAACAAGAGTTTTGTACATTAAACATTATAGTAAATTACATAGATATGTAGCATAACAGTAAAATTAAACATCAAGTCATTTTTCAAACAAGATATTAGTTTTGATAACCCTTTATGATACGGTTATATCTCAAATTACTTAAATGAGCCTACTAGTTTTATTTTTCATCCATTGTGAGAATTAAATTGTCTATGATTTTCTAAATACTGTTGTCAGGAATGTTAGTAAATGCAAAAATAGATTAATTCAGTTTATCAATAAAAGATTTGAAATCGACAGAAATATTTATATACTCAGGGTGACATCTATAGATAAAAAGAGATCTTTATATTGAATTTTGTGATATTGCTAAAAGTAAAGGAACTCATAATATTCATATGCATGAGATAGCGTGCAATCTATGATCCAACAAAGACTTAAATATTTCCTGAGTTATAATGCGTGAAAAATAAAAAACAAGTACTTGATAATAAAAAATTCTGGTCTGTAATAAAATGAAATAGTTAATGCTTAAATGCTAAAATTAAAGATTTTACTAAAATCAAGTAGTAATAAAGAAATCCTAGTTTTTAATGATAAAATCAAAAGTTGTGTTTAAAAACTAAATTTATTTCAAGTATTCATAGTAATGTATTTATTTAACATTTTGCTTTATATTTTCTAATAATGGAATCTGAAAAATTGTTATTTTGTTATTAATTTAAGGGTGAAAGAGGTCCTGAGGGCAAGCCAGGTCCTGATGGAAATCCCGGCTTGCAAGGATTGATGGGATTACCTGGACCTCAAGGTCCTACTGGTGAAACAGGTCCTGAAGTAAGTTACATTTTTCTTACCAAAATTTTAATCTGTTACTTTTTAAACAACTTTTATAGTTCAATAAAAATATATCTAGTTTTGTCTAAAACCAAGGTGATTACCTAGATTTTAATAACTAGCTCCACTAGTCTTTTTTTTTTTTTTTTTTTTTTTTTTTTTTTTTTTTTTTTTTTTTTNTTTTTTTTTTTTGTTAAACCTTATACTGTATGTTTTCTCATTAAAACTGAATGTTTATAAAAACAGAGGCTAAAGTTTTCATTTTTATATCTATTTATCAAAATAAATTTCAATTAAAACATTTAAAATTCCTCAAACTTGCCAGATTTTTTTGCAAGTAGGATCTTTGTATTTCAGATATTCATTATTATATTTCTGAGAATTGCTCTATTTTTAATAATTTTTAATGTTTAATAGAAAGTTATTGATTTGATGAATAAGCTTGTTGTTTATAAGACATTTTTTGAGAAAAAGAAACACTTGCTCATATGTAATTACTTTATGACTTATATCCAAATTTGAGTATTCAAAAACCCTAAATTTATGTGATGAAATAAGTTCAATATAAAAGTAATTAAGTCACTTAAACTAAATCCTATGAGCAAAAATAATTTGACAAAAAAGAAATAGTTGTATTTACTATAACTATCTACTTTTCTTGATGCTTATTAATAAGATAGAGCATGTCTAGTCATATCTATCTATTTGGGAACAAAAATGTTTAAAACTTAACTTAATTACATCAATAATTGAATGCCTTTACTTGCCAAATCATTTAATTCCACTTTGGATTCAGCATTTGTTTTAGCAATCATTGAATTCAGCATTAATTTTAAAAAACATAATAATTTTTAAAAACACTTTAGTTTAAATTTGAAATTAAATTTTTTATTAGAATTCTCAATTTTCTTTTTGGTTTTGTAATGAATTGTTAGGATATCACTATACTAAACGCCTACTTAGTATTGTTAAGTGCAAATAGTATTGTTAAGTGCAGCCGAAATAAATTAAAACATTCTAAGATTGACAGGCAGAGTTGCTTTGCACAAGTTTTCTTTTATAAGTTAAGTATAAGCCTAGATTGTAATATATATGACTTAATCCCCAAAGAAAATGTTTAGTTTACAAGAAAATAAAAATTTTATCTATTAAATTCTCATACTTAATGGTTTTTATAATTAGCAATTTACTAAAAATAATTAACAAGTTAATAGTATATTAATGTTTAGCATTAAAAGTCTTAGCATATTTGATATAATTCGAGAAATAAAGCACAAAGCAATTAAGGCAATATTGACTTTATGAAGATGACCATTTTTTAAACTTATCTCTTAAAAATAACTTTTTTTAGTTCTAAACATTTTTGTAGTATATAATTATTTCAGGGTTGTAATTTTCAAACCTTGTACTTGACAATATATATGCTAAGATAAAGTTTGCAATAATAAAGTTTTCATTTCAAATATTTCTCTACAAAGGTTGTAGATTTTTTAAACAATATTTTTAGGGACCTCAAGGCAAAGACGGGCCTCCAGGTGCCCCTGGTAGAACTGGTGACAAGGGGCCTTCTGGTCCCCCAGGACAAACAGGTGCTCCAGGCTTGCCAGGTCTTCAAGTAAGTTATTGATGTAATATAATTTATTGTTTAATGTTATTTCCTCTAAAATATACTTATTAACTCTGCAAGTGTAAAATTGTTGTTCCAAAGCTGTCGATGAAAAAAAATATGTTTATTCTCACAAAGTACGTTTTGTGTCTTCTTTTCATAGCTTAAGATATCAACTGCTCAGATTATTTAGACACCAAGATTTCATCCATTAAATTAGTTTCTTGAAAAATGCTTGCATCGTAGGATATAAAAACTCAATAATTATTTTAAAAGTTATTGATATGTTCCTTTTTTATCATTGTGGAATTTTATTTTTTAATTTAAAAACTCAATTTTGAAAATAATGATAAAAAAAAATTATGTTCTGTAATTGTGTATGTATTAAAGTTCAGGAAAATATCATTTTAGTGCAGAAATTTCCTGTAACAAACTATTCTCCTACCTTGAAAAGAAAACCAGTTTTTTGATCCAAAAAGGCTGAGCCTCATGCTCAGAGGGTTAAAAGTCCTCTATATTCCAATAAATTTTTACCTGAATAAAAGAATTTTTGTCAAAATGTTCATTATTAAACATAGAAATGGTCTGTGTGACAAAAGTTTTTCCTTAATTTTTGTTTTTAACTCATTAATTTAATTTTAACTATTACAATTTTAGTATCAGTTTCACCAAATTTTATGTATATTTGGAAGCAATCATTTTAAAACTTTTGTACATTTTTCTTCTACGTGATTTTTAAAATTGACTATTAGACAGTTTATATCTTAAATTAATTGATAGGCATTTCAACAGGTGTTAACTTGTTACGTTAACTCAAAGCATTTTATTAAAAAAGTAATGATTCTGCTTTTTAACCACTTTAAAATTGCTCTTATTTATCTTTTTTTGCTTATTCACATTTCTTGTTATTTTTTGTCTTACCCATAATCCTGCCTTCTTTAGTTCAATAATGATTCATGAAAGTTATGCACTCTAAAGCTGTGTGAAACTTTTACTTACACAAAGATTTACATGTGTATTTGTTGTATGATTATTATATGCAGCTAATAAATACTATGGCAGAGGCTATTTTGCTTACTTTATGTAATGAAATTTAAATGTATTGTCCACAATTGCTTATACTTTTGCCCCATTGTGAAACTAGTTGCACAATACTATGTTCAGTTGAAGAATCTTTGGCTGCTGTTTGAATCAGTTGTGCCTTCACTCCTTTCCCTCAGCTACCTGAATTAACACTCCCTGATTTAATATGTCCTTGCAGTGTTTTTTTTTTTTTTTTGAAAGATGAAGTCGCATTTGAACTAAAGGGTGATTAAGACTTTCGATTTGAATTTATGCAGACATTACTGTTGGTTGTGTATGTTCCAACATGTTGTGCAACAGAAGGACATCACTAAAAGTTTACTGCAACATTTTAATCAATTTGCCTTCCTGAACTTTGTTAATGTTTCCAAATGCCATTGACCTTTAAATTTAGGTAAAGAGCTCCAGCGAACCAAAAAGTGACTTTTTGCATTTCCAATTACTTTCAACTATGCGCCACTTTCAGAAACAGAATAAATGAATTTTAGCTAATTTTGTCATCATCTGTTTATTATCTTTTATTGGACAATTTTAGCCTCCTAACTAGTGAAAAACGAGCAAATCCTTTTTGTAACACAAACAACTACATACCACACCCAATTCTATTTTTTTATTACCTTAATTATGTTTTAATGACCTGCATTTATTAACTGTTCCTAACACAGTCATAGTAATTTTTCTTAATTTCGTCTTTTTTTAGGGTATGCCTGGTTCTTCCGGGCCATCTGGATCTCCTGGAGATCGTGGGGAACGTGGAGAGAGAGGTATACAGGGCCCTATGGGACAACAAGGTCCTCGAGGGTTACCTGGTCCTATGGGAGAATCTGGGCCAAAAGGTCCCAAAGGTGATATTGGACATACTGGAGAGAAAGGACACAGAGGAATTCTTGGATTACAGGGGCTTCCTGGACCTGTAGTATGTTAATTTTTCCTCCATACTAAACTATTAAATTTCTTTGATAATAAACCTTTATGTATGTTTTCTAAAATGTATGATGTCCACTTAATTTTTTTTTCTATTTCTTTCTTTAAAATGCCAGTATATATCTTTAATAGGGCCCACCTGGTGACAAAGGTATGACTGGTGATCCTGGACCACCTGGAATGAAGGTAAAAAATTTATCATTTTCAACTTTTATTTAAATGTAGTTTATTTTCATAGAATATCACATTCTTCAAACAAAAATGAAGCTTTAAAACAACAGTAAAATGATCAAACGTCATTAGTATTAAAAACAAAGAAATTCTCTATGCTTTAAACCTGGCACTAAACCTTTATTTGCTAGCATGCCATTAGCAACTGAATATTTTTCGATAATAAGTAACAAAGTTTGACTCTAGAGTAACAGATGTTGATTGAAGGGAAACCGAGTCTGTAACTAGTACTGCAATTGACAAATGGTATTTTAGTTCCAAAAAGCAGCCATTGGGCAAAAATGAATATTTAAAAGAAGGAGAGCATTTCTGATGTAATGATTTTTGGATCAATTTCTTATTTTTTTGAATTTTAATTTGATGATATTAGAACCATTAAAACCTTATGCATGTTCTCCAACATTTGAGGCTTATATGAAATTTTTTTCTAGTGGAAGTGAAGTAAAACAGAAATTTTTAACCCAGATATAATTTTTGCAATACTTTTAACCAAATTTTGGTCTCTATCTGACCTCTTTATACATGTTTAAATATTTAATATTGTTGCTGATAAAAATACTTATAATGCTAATTTATTAAGACAGTAATATATAACCTTAGCTACCATTATGAAAAGCATTTTTGGAACTACAGAAAATCCATTGTTGTTAGAGGGTGAACTTATGACAACCTTATTTTAAGTTTATATCGTTATTTGTTTATAATAAATATGCTTCAGTGTTTCAGTTCGCGCATTTTTGTATAATTTTGTTCACCAAAATGCTTTTACACTTACTCTGTTGACATTTTAAAAATTGTGCTTATATTTTGTGAAAATAGTAGTGAGCAATTAGTTACGCAAATACTTTTAAAACTGTAACTTTATGTCCTTCTCTAGGCAAAAAGATAAGTGATTACATTCATAACTTAAAGAACTCTGTAACATTTTTTCTTAATTGCTGTCAAAATTTGAATATTTAATTTCCTTCCATATTATTTTATTTTCTCCAACTTAATGCTGGATCACAATTTTTAATAAAAAACTAATTGTCTAGAGTTCATAATGGCAGAATACCAGTAAGTTTAGCCACTTAATGTTGCAAACTATTTAATTCAAAATTATAATTACTTCCAATAAAAAACTGCAATAAAGCTTTGAAAAAAAATTATAAATTCATTTGTATATCAAATTAATGCTGTCTCATGCATGAGAATTTCAGGTTTGTAATTTTATTTTAAATAAGTGTAACTTAAAAGCAAGTGTATCTTCAATTGAATTTATCTTAGACAGTAGGCTTCCAATCAAATAAAACAGTAGGCTTCCAACCAAATAAAAGAATCATAAGTATGGTAGAAGATTGTTTTTATATAAGAGGTGATAAAATTTTCAATTTCAATTATCAGCCACCGTAGCACGAGAAATATGTCAATGTTATGTGTGTGTGTTTTTAACAATGCATCTTTTGAAATCATCAAATTAATAGGAACATTGAGTGGAAAAAGGTGATATGATAAAAAAAGGTTTTTGTATTTGCAATAATGCAACAAATGTACATAAATGCTAGAACATGTGACAAATAAATGTAACAGTGTGAGGATATTAGAACATTTCAAATCTGTTACATTTTAATTTTTTTATGTTAAATTTGCCCTTAAATTTGAACTGTACATAGTATTCTTTTAACACTTTTCCAAATAGAAAAGTTTTAGAAAATAAAATAAATAATGACATTAACTTGTATATACGTATAAGTAATGAATTATAAAAATTATCAAATTTTTCTAGAGAGTACTCCTTTAACAAGGAAGGAAAATTTGACAATACATTGTAACACCAAGTAATAGCAAATAAGTAAATCTAAAAATTAGAAAACACATAAGCTATGATTGTATCTGCTTAAAAGGCAAACTTTTATTGGTCCCACTCTTGCATTTGGCAGAAAAGTTTAGTCTCCAACCAAAAAATTGGTGGTAGTCTATTGCATAACTAGCTTTTGGCATCAAAGATGACATTATAGCTACCTTGCATGTCCAGAGCTTGCTGTAAGCAGATCATATGTGAAGGACACTTAAATTTCAACCATTAGTTTATTTTTAAAAACTAAATAAAGATGATTAAAAGCATACATTTTTCCACTCTGTTTGCACCCCTATTAAGGGCCATTCTTGCCACATCTAATTTGTGCATAGATTTGCATGTGAACAAAGTTCCTTTTACAAGTAGTTTCCTACCATTTGCATTTGCACAAGAATGATTCCCCTGTTTGATTTCAGTTTAAGGTATCTTAATTGTCTGCTGCTCAAATGTGTTTTAATTGTTATTCGTGTAATTACATATAAATATAAGACAATCAATTGGTCTATTGATAATACTTTTAAAATTGAAGTTTATTTGTTACTAATCTATTAAAATTATGATTCTGGTAAAAAATTGTTCTTAAATTAAATAATAATTCTCTCATTAAATTGAATACTAACTTATTTTTCTTGCAGGAAGGTTACTAGTGTTAATTTCAGAATTAGGTCGAACTAACGTTTAGTGAGAGGATTGTTATACATTTGTATTTCGTTAATGCATTTCTCTTTTCTTTTAGGGTCCTCCTGGTCCTAAAGGACCCATTGGTAATCCTGGAAATTCTGGACCTCCAGGAATGTTAGGAATACCAGGACCTAGAGGACCTACCGGTGAATCTGGAAGAGATGGAACTCCTGGTCTAACTGGGCCTCCAGGGCCACCTGGTCCTCCTGGTTCCGGATTTCAATATGACATGGCAGCATTAGCTGCTCTTATGGGGCAAGGACAAGTAAAGGTGAGTTTTAGTTATAGAATTATTGTTTTTGTGTTATTTGTTTTGCCATTGTTAAAAAAATTTTTTTAAAGTATTCCTGTTACTTGATAATTTTTATGTTGCCTTATATCATATGAAGAACCTAATAGTTACTTGCAACTTTAATAACTGTATTAATATCAATTTTTTATTCTGAATTTAAATCTTGCCGATATTAGTAACATTTATAGCTTATCAGTATTATTTTCTTACAAAATTTCTTTGCAAATTAAGCACTTATTACATTTCTTTTGTTAATGATTGAATTTCAACTTTTAAAAATTTTATTATGATTATATTCCATTTAGGGCTCTCCTAATAATGTAGTGTAGTGACACTGCAAATAGTATAATACCTTCAATTTGTTGTTAAAAAGGAACCATGAATTTTTTTCTAACTTACTACTTTTTGTTCTGAAAATAAATTTATAAGTTGTTACCCAATCTACCTGTAAAGTGCAAAAATTGGTTTGTAAGTTAGATTTTTTGCGTACTATTTTATTATCTACAAACCTGTTCAAAATATTATGTAAACAGAATTCTAATACTAATGAACGTAATATGTTCTTTATCTTGCAATTTTTAAAATTCTGTTCTAGAACTTTTCCATAGTCGGAACTATATCTGTAGAAAAAAAATATGTGTTCAAAACTGTTGTTCTGAATTAACCCAATTTTAAGTTAGTTGTATTGAATAACCACTTTATTAAATTCTAAAAACTTCCATCAATATTTTATATATTGTTGCAGCGTATCCTTTTATTTTTCATAATTCATTTTAATTCAATAAATTAAGGGACCAGATCCAATACTGGGTGATGAACCAAACCTACTGTCGGCTGCTCCAGAAGAAAAGAAACGTTTAATATTCCAGTTCTATGAAAAATTGGTAAGAGACTATGCAGATTCTAGAAAGCCAACAGGAACTAAAGACTCACCTGCTAAATCCTGTAAACATTTATCAGAGGCTCAACCAAATCTTTCTAGTGGTATGATGTACATCTTGGAATATCTAAAAGTGTAGTGTGTAATTTTACTTTGTTTCTCAAAATATTTTTTTTTTAGGTATGTATTGGATTGATCCAAATGAAGGTACTATCAAAGATTCCATTGAAGTATTTTGTAACATGAATACAAAAGAAACATGCATAATCCCTAATCCTGAAGAAGTAAGTAAACTTAATTTTCTTTATAAAAGTTACATTTTCTTTGCTGAGCAATTGTTTATAAAATTTTCAGAAGTAAAATGATTTTCATACAATTTTATTTTGTTTTTGTATTGTATATTGTATAATATTGAAAACCTTTATCCTTATAAATGATGACTGCTATATTACAGGGTTTGTAGTTGTTCTAATATTCCTAATCTTTGTATGTTCAGAGCATCTTTTCTACTAATACTGCAGACTTTTAAAAAAAGATTTAAAAATCGAAATTTTCGGATTTTTGATCCAAATTCTTTTTGTTTTCATTAATAATGCTAGTAGAGTTCGCAAAATTCAATTGTTTCAATTTAAGGACATACTATTAATTATATACGTGCTGTTCTTAAAAAATGGAAGTAGTACCGAGAACAGAATTTAAATCACTCTGACTCAAATAAGAGCTACACAAATTCAAACTAACCACTAAGTGCTTTGAGCAAATGTAAGTTTACTCTAAGAAACACCATCACCATTGAGCTTCATTAATTTTCAATGCTTACTTTCACAAACATTAACGTTCACATTCTTACTGTATTTTAAAAGTGAATATTTTAAGATACACCTGTTGATCAGTGAAATAAAAAGGTTGAATGGCATGTTGTGATGAAGTTCATACAAGACAATCTTGTTGCTGCCAAGGAAGGCACTGATTTAAGGGTTACTGGTTGATAATGGTAAAATTGAAAAAATAATGGTAAATTTAAAAACTCCTCTGCTATTGAAATTGAAGGCAGCTAAAAGTTTATGAGTTAAATTAACTTAGGAAAATAACAAAAATATTTTCATTTTTGTTTGTTTTGCACTATTTAAAAATGTATATTATTTTATATTTAATTTACCCTTTTCTGTCCAATTTTCTAGAACTAGAGCCTGGAAAAAAATTGAATGACAGTTCAAAAAGTTTGCCTGCAAATACCATAATTGCTCTCTATTTAAATATTTAAATTTGTCAATTTTTTATAATGGAAATTGTTAGGGATGAGTTAAAGATATTTGATGTTATTAACCATTTAAAATTATCTGAAAAAGTGTGGACTTATGGATATTGAAGAGAACTGTTTCTTCTTAATGATAATAGCTATTATATAAAATTTGAAAAATTAACTGCATTAATACTGCATGTTCTTTAGGTAAATAATTGCATTTGTTTCATCCTAGTTTCTCTATTAATTATTACTCCCAAAATAAGTTTTTTTTTGTTCATTCTATTATTATTCTTTATTTAATTATAAAATTATCCAAGTTTTGAAATAATTTATTCAGTAAATTATAAAGTCAATACAGTTGTTGTCATCAAACAGTATTGGAACTATTTAAAAGAGAAGTTTACTGAAACAAACACTTTTCAAATAATTTTTACTTTAATATTTTAATGTAAAATTAATATTTTATTTTCATTTATGCATTTCTTTTGCTGAATATGATTATTTAATTCAAAAAAACAGCTAAAAGGAATAAATTATTCAAATAAAATGATTGACCTCTTGGTTGCATTTAAAGTAATTTCTTTACTTTCTTAAAATAATTCTCCCTTTTTCTTTAGTACAGTTATATTTTATGAATGCAAGTTATTAAGCATTTTTTTCATAAAGTTGTTATTACATAATATACAACACTATAAATGTTACAGATTCCGAAAGGTGTGCATATTAAAGGTCGAGGGCAGAAAACTTGGTTTAGTGAAATGGAATCAGGTTCTCTGGTAAGTTTTGCATCAGTTTCCCATTTCAATTTATTTAGTTTCAATTTCAATTATTTTAAATAGAAATATCGATGATGTTACTGTAATAATTTTTTCAGCTTCAGGCTATATTTCAACTAATTATTTTTTTCATTTCTTCTAGTTTCATTATAAAATTGATCATGCACAATTAACATTCCTTCAACTTCTGAGTGAAAGTGCATCACAAAATGTTACCTATCATTGCCGAAACTCAATTGCCTATTATGATGCTAAACAAAAATTCCTAAAAAGAGCTGTGAAGCTGATGGCCTACAATGATGTAGAACTTACTGCAGATGGGAATCCAAGATTTGTCTACAATGCTTTATTTGATGGATGCCAGGTAATTAAATGAATATTTTTTCTTTTTTTTTTTCATAAATATTCATTTTTCATTTCAAATCTTTGAGATGAATAGTTCAGCAGCAATGTTCACCTGATATGAAGCATGCTTAGTTACTCTGTCATAATCAACTTATTTATCTTTTATGACTTAATTATTAACTTTAACTAGAATTCTGATCAATTTGTATACTAGGGGAGATTTCTGTGCTTTTTCTTTTCCTTATAGTTCAGATGCTGATTAGTTTAACTTACGAAAGAAATTTGTATCAATGCTAGATTCAGTATTTCTCTTGTCTTTTGGGTTGGGTGCAGAATTTCAAGGTTATGAAATTAAACATAAACTGCAAATGTAAACTGACATACATGAGAATATCAGATTTATGCCAGCCATTAAATAAAATTTTTATTTCTGCAAATAGATTAGAAGTGTTTCATCAAAACAATTAAATAAAACCTTGAATAGTTAATCTAATGGTGATAAAGAATTAATAGAAATATTGGTTAGATGGTTAATAGAATTAGTAAGGAATCTTCTCATTCAATTGAATGGTTAATAATAGGGAAGCATGAGAGATTTATAGAATTAAAACAAACTATTCATTACATGAAAACTATAATATTCAATAACAAGCTTAGAAAATGGAATCCAAATAAAGTAATCATAGAATTAGAATCTTTATAAGCGAATTTCATGGATCCTTCTAAGCAACGATTTGACTATCAAAAAATTTTGTTGATCATAAAACATGTTTCTTGGTTCAACAAAACATAATCTTGTTGGATTATTTGCCATATTCACTTGACTGTGTTTCACCTGATTTTTCTGTATTATGCAAATTAAGTCTGAGTTAAAAAGAATACCAAATCCTTCTGATACCATTTAACAGAACTTTCTGATTGAAAGCTCTTAAACAGAAAAGTATAACTTATAATACTCCATGCATTTGTTTTTGGCAATAGAAGATTCAGAAGGAGTAGGAAATGGTACATAATAGACAACTTTAAAATTTGTTAGTTCTTTTTAATTACTGTCCCATTATTCAATAACCTAACCTTATATAATGATGTGGATTTAATGAAGTACCTTCTTATTTTCTATATCAGATTCACCTGAGAGCATTGACATACTGGAAGCATTAGTTGAAAAAATAACATTATAAATTAGCGAAGTTAGCTAGATGATAAACTTTAATTTTCTTCCCATCTTCATATCCTACTTCATTACATTAACATAGTTAAGCTTCGATAGTATTGTTATATGTGTAATACAAATTTTTTCACTTATATTATTATTTTTTCCATAATCTCACTCATCTTTAATTTTTAAATTTTCTTCTAATTTTGATTATTTTATTGCTCAAAATGTATACTTCTACATATTTAGAACAACACTTAAAAGATAAGTTGAGTTTTAAAAAGAAATATTCCTATTAAAGGCAAATAAGTACTAAATTAAAAATTATTGATGTATCAGAATGTAATTGATGTATAAGAATGAATAGAATTAAAAATTATTGACTATCATACATTTGTATACATTTTATTAATAATATGGTTCTTTATTCTAGATACGTGGTAATGAATGGTCCTATACAACTCTAACATATTCAACGGATAAACCTCAAAGACTGCCAATTGTTGACATAGCACCTAGAGATGTAGGCTTAAAAAATCAAGAATTTGGCATTACAATTGGTCAAGCCTGTTTTGTTTAATTTATAAAAGTTTTGGTTTAGCATTTTGGAATATTTAAAATGTGATAAAAGAAAAAGATTTTCAGCTGCTGCATTTTACATGAACTATGATAAGCGACATGTGTTTTGATGAAACATAACAAAACTTGTTATTTACATTCTGCAGACTTACTAATCACTGTTGTATTTTACATCATTCATTAACTTAACAGCCCATTATAAAAACGTCTTTGTAAAAGTTTATATTTTTGAATTTTACAAAATAATGTTTCACTGCCATTTTGTTTTTAGAGATATTTCTGGTTTATTAAAAGTTTTCCTTTTTATGTGGTTGTCATTCTTTTACATTTAATTCTTATTTTATTTACTTACAACTCATTTGTAAAAATTTGTAATATAATTGAAAAGTAATATATTAGTTTAATTAAATGAAATCATTGAGTTGAGATAATAAGTTTTGATATTAGCTTTATTTATTTTCGTAAGTTTTATTAGAGAAACAAGCACACTACATGAAGGCATTGGTAAATATATCATATTCATGAAGAACTAAATTGCCCTTTATATGCATTACATAAAGAGATTAAAATAAAGGCTTAAGACAAGAGAAAACATTATACGTATTTCTCTTAAAGTGGATTAAGTCATTTTTAATTATAGATATTTAACTGAATGGAAAGTTTTTGTAAAGTTAATTCCTTGTTGAATTAATAATTCTGAGTTTTGCAGAATTTGTACAAAGTAGAGTGCATTTTCCACCAAATACAATTTTCACCCTTTAAGAGTTATGCAAATGAATACTATTGCATGATATTTTTACTCCATGTATTGATTTGTTAATAAATATTTTGATAAGCCAATTTTTACTGCAACAAAAAAAGCAAAAATTAAGTATAAAATATCTTAGTTTTTATGCCACTGTAGTTTTAAAGAAATATAAAAATATTTTGGGAATTTTTTTTCAGCAAATAAAGGGAACAAATCAAAATCTTGAAATAAGTGAAAGAGTTGTAAAAATGGTTTATTCTAAAGCAGCATGAAGTAAAATTGCAGCTATGCTGCGCCTTTAAACTGTTATACTGTACTGTTTGGCGCAGCATGTCCTTATTTGGTTTTTGTACCATTAAACCCTACATTCAATCAGCTAGCAGCTTTTTTTTTTAATTAAGTTTTTATAAATTGCCGAACTAACTTTGCATAGAAAATTTTATTTAGAATGTAAAACTGCGTTATCAATTGATTGCTACAGAAGTATTTGCTGATAGCTGTAGAAGGACAATGCTTTTTTTCATGCCAATTTTTTAAAAAAGGATGCTTATATTTAAAAATATATTTAAATTTTTTCCGGCTCTTAAAACTTTGTGTCGATAATTTTAACTAGTGCAAGTAGGCTAGAATAACAGGCTTTTGCATGCTACACACCATATTCAAAAGGATTAAGCTTCAATCTTATTTTTTCATGGAATTTCTTTAGTTTTTAAAAAAATTTTTGATTGTAGAATTTAAATTATACTAAAAATATTTTTCAAAATATTAATATGCTAGAAATATATAAATTTAATAGCTCATAAATATGTATTTTTTTAAAAAATATTTATTTAATATTTTGCTCATGCTGGCATGACAGATGGATCAGACTCACGAGCTTTAGTATGTTAAAAGTCCTTAAAAGAAGTTAACTATTAGCAAAACATTTTTTAATGATTCAAGTTCGTTAAATATGTTGCATAACTGTCAAATATAATGTAATTCACTATTTTAAATTCATATCAGATAAAAAATACTAAAAATTCTAAGAATAAAAAAAATTTATATATAGCGCTGCCAACTGCTAAACCTTATGCAAAAAAAATTTTATAGAGTGGTAGATAATTAAAAATAAACCTTTTGGAAATTTTGCTACCAATTGAAATACTTAATTATGAGATAACTGAAAGAAGAGGCTTTTCATATGATTTTTTAATCATTTGAATGAAGTGGTGTGGAAAAAAACTAAAAGATAAATTTATAATACAGTAGGACATACATAAAAACATTAACTTTGGTACAATAAAAGAAATTTTTACAAGAAGAATAGAAAATTGACGGCTTTGAATAAAAGTAATAATAAAAAATATCAGTATCAATAGAATTGGGGGAAAAACGTGTATGTGTCATTTTCCGGTAAGTGTGACATTTGGGTTCCCTGCCTTTATTTATTTTACTTTCAATGATTTGTTTCTTAAAAAAACTATCAAGGCCTTCCAGTTAAAAAATATAAATTAATTATATCATAGGTATTATGAGAAAAACTCAATTTGAATATGTAAAATTTTACCTTTGCACCGTGTCCAAACCCTTATAGTCAGATATCCAATGTAAGTTATCATTGGAAATGTAAAGCACAATAATTTATATTATGCTTATTTTTGAAGCTATGTATCAATACTACTAAAAATATTTTTCCCCTTTGTCTTTTGATATTTTATATTCATAGTCTTGATAGTCTTTTGATTAATTGTCACTACTCTATCTAGTGTTTTACAAAAAGTGTAGTTGTTGGCAGATCTGTAAGGATTGAGAATTGAAAAGCATAACCGTAAATGTTGCTGTTCACCTCAATGTGGTCCTCTTCATTATTTTACCTAGAGATTCCTGCACTCACTTAATTCTTCAAGTCTTAACTTCTCCTAGTTATGTTATGAAGTAGTGTGCAGAGACTTGAGCAGGCTTAGGGTGAAGCATCAAAATTTGAAAACAACGTAAGAAAAATATATGGAGTGTTAAGAGGTATTAATAAATGTTCATGCTTTTCAACACCAATTTTGTGTCCTTTATCATCATCATCTATATTCATCTAGTTCGCTGTCTGCTCTCAAGATGCTCAAAAGTGTTTTTCTATTAATTACTCTCTTGTGCCACTTTAGACCCTATACCTTTGCTGTCACTACTCGGAACTTTTTCTGTCATGAGTTGCTATGCAATTGTTATAATGTACCGAGCCTCCCCTAAAAATTTGTTGCAATGTTTTTGAGACAACCTGTATTATAGATGTTATAAATATAGAAGAAGATTAATCTCCTGAGGCGCTAGCTTTAAATTATGTATTATGTAAAGCAGTTTAAAAAAATTTGTCCTCTTAATGTAAATTTCACTTTTTGCATATTTCGCCATATCTCGAAAGTTTTTTAATTAAAAAATCTTCTCATACAATTATAAAATTCATTCAGCCAAATATTATTCCATACAAGAACAACTTTTAGTGAGTATTTTTTATTAGTTTATTTTATAATAGTCGAAAAAATTTTGAACTTTAAAGTATACAAGTTTTATATAATTTTGAAGAATGTAGTTATACATTATAAAATACAAAATTTTAACAAAATCGGTCGAATCAGCCTTTTTCAAAATTCGATCGATTTCTCTCATATTTTGCATTTCACCATTTAAAATTACATTATTTAAAATGATGTGAAAAATTTTATACCTTATGATTCAAATTTTTTTCGCATATTATTAAACAAAACAACAAAAAAAAATTATAAATATATGCTGAAAGTTGTATTTTGTATAGAATTATTCCTGGAGAAACGAATTTTATAACTGTGCGCAGAAATTTTTTAATTTGCTTAAGAATTTCTCGACATATGGCGAAACATCTAAAACGCAAAATTAACAGTAAGGGGTCCGCTCTTCTCAGATTGCGTCTACCCCCTATGTTTAGGGGTTCAGAAATCCGGATCCATCGAAAAAAGGGCATGTTTATTTAGAGAAAGTACGTTTTTGTCTCTGATTTCGTAACTTAAAAGATCGTCTGCGCTACGAAATTAGCATATTTGAGGTCACCCCCTCAAACCATTATGATTGAGTACTAACTAAAACGTAAAGATCTGACCATTAGATCAAAAGTTATTAAGAGTGGTCCGTCTTTTATTTTGCGCACTGTACATTATGATCATAATAATTGAAATATTGTATTGTATTGAGATATGAAAAAATTTGAATTATTAGTTGTGTAACTACGCAATAAGTCAAATATATAAAACATAACTTTATTCCTAAACTTTCACCTCCTGAGACTCAATGTCAAAGGTATTTAATGTTCTATATAATGTTATCACTTTAGAAATAATTTTTCAACCCATTAATGCCCTGCCGCCAAAAGTGGTCTATATATATGGAAGGGCCATGGGGGCTCAGGGGATAGAGCTCTCGTCTCACACTGAGTTGATCCGGGTTCGAATCCCAGAGATGGCAGGTCAATACGAATTCCGCACCCTGCTTGCACTGAGCGAAATGTTGACATAAAATATTATCTTTTGTAGACGAATCATTGGTTACAGTCCTTTTGCCGTCAGGCTTATCATTGGAGGTTTTTGTTGTTATTCCTCTCCGTATAACACAAATTCGGGTTAGTTTCATCTAAAAGTCCTCCAGGAGGATACATTTCTTCCAATATTTGATCCAGAAGTTCTCTTGTCTTCTACGCTGAGTTCAAAATAATTAGGTAAATTCAAAATCAGGTCGGCTGTTCAAAGTCGGTTATAAATATAAATATGTGGAGAATAGAGTTGCAGTGGTTAAGGAGATAGAGCGTGAAGACGAACCAGATTCGAATCCCGGCGGTGTCTTGTTGATACGAATTCTGCTTCTGCCTCTCACTGATCACAGTGCTGACGTAAAATATCTTCAGAGGTAGAGGAATCATGGGCTTGAACCCCCTTGCCCTCAGACTAACCGTGGGAGGCTTTCGTGGTTCTTCTTTCCATTTAACGCAAATGTGGGTTGGTTCCATCAAAAATCCTCCGCGAAAGTTAGTTCGTCCCAATGCTTGATCTAGGAACTACCTTGTCTTCTGGGTTGGGTTCAAAATGACAAGACTACGGAGTTAAACATTGATAGTCGTAAATTCAAATCGGGTAGCTTATTTAACTCCGGTTATAAAATAAAGTATATATGAAGAACAACTGTATGAAAAAAAGTGGTTGAGTGCATTTGTTCATACCAAAGAGATATTTCTTTCAGTTACCTACCACTTTAGCTTAAAAAATTTTTGAACAAAAGAAATTCTAATAATTAAACACTTGCGCTAAAACTTTTTTTCTTATTTGAAAAAAAATTAACCCTTCTTTTTAAAGGACACAAAGCACAAATAGATTAAGATTCGTTTTTCTACTTATATGATTTCACAAAGCAATTGTCTAGGTAAAAATATAATAGGTCTTACCATCGTCAATCGGAGTTCTCAATTACAATGAAAAAGGTAAGAAATTCAACTCAAAGAACTTTTTGGAGAGACTTATGACATGTTTATCTTATTTGAACTAAGTGGAAGGAATACTAATATGTAGAAACTCGCGTTATATTCTCCAACACACGAAAAGTGCTGAAAATGAAAATGTATCTTTTTTATGTAATAATGAAAAATAACTAAAAAGTTAATTAAGATAAATAATTTGATTTTTTTTTAAATTTATTGCATTTATTACTTTCTTTATCCTAAGCTTTATTATTTCAAAGTAAAAATCACTTTTTTTGCTATTATTAAAAGCTCAGATCTGAGGAGGATGAACGCGTTTTTTCCAGACTCATTATATTTTTCAAATGGGAAAGAGAAATATTTCAGCTATCTATTACGAACCTGCTGTTTATTGTCTTTTCACCCATTATGTGATGGACTTATATACCCAATATGTGATGGAAGAAATATAGTACTATATGAAATATGTATTGAAAATGTGGCTTATATTGCTCCAAGCCTTTCATGTTTAAAAGTTTTTGCTACTTAATAAAACTAAAAACAAAAGTTTTGTCAAAGTAATCTGAATTCTCTTTTCCGAATGAGTACAGATTTTGAAAATAAATAACTTAATTAATTTAAATAAATTAATTAATTTAAATAAATCAAGAAAATAAGNGATGAAATAAATAAATAAATTAATTAATTAAAATAAAATAATTAACTATTATAAATAAATAATTAATTAATAAAAATAAATAATTAGATAATAAAAATAAATAAATACATTTTTGGAGTTTGGGTATAAAATTTCTTTAAGCTACAGTGGTTGCCAAATGTTTTCGTAACATAAAACTTAAACTGTTAAATCTTATTACATAATTTAAAATCAAGATAAAATGTTTTACGTATGAAGTGCTTTAGCGGTAACTAACTCTTGGCGAGTGTAATATTTTCTAAAAAATAAAAATGTATTAATTTTCATTTAGTATGTTTTCTGCAAAATCATTTATATTCCATTAGTTTCTTAATATGTTATATTTCAAAATTTACGCTACTCTCTCACTCTCTCATAGTTTTAGTAGATCATTTTTAAAATGATCCACTCGAATAATTACTTTTGCACTTAGTAATAGCATACTAACTTTTCATACTGCATAGTTACTTTGCATTTTCGGATTTTTTTTTTTCTAAAGGTGAAGCAGAATTGAATTTATAACTACTTTGTCTACCAGAAATATAAATGATTCAAACGTCTACATTAGAACAATTTGTAATAAACTAACACAGCTCATTGCACTAAGCCTAAACAAATTAGAAAAAGATCATAAAATTACTCAATCAGCATAAATTTGTTTTGCCTTATTGTAGCTCTGTAAGTTCAGCGAACAGCCAGAGAAAAATCAGGCTAAATGAATGAACAATTATACATTCTTTAATTAGCCTAAAGGTATATGAGCTTATTATAACGAACCTAAAAACTACTAGGCTATAGAAAATACAAAAGACTTTTCTAATTGGCCAGGCACTTTACAATATTACTGTAACTTTTGGGCCGTTATTTTTGAGAGTAGAAAATGCCCATTTGGAAAGTACTGGCTCCGAGGCTTTTAAGGTTTAGCGTCTGAATAAATTTAAAAATATTGGCAAAGGTTGCAATTAGTGTGTTTTGAACATTTGATGAAAATATCCAATATATATTATATATTTGAATTTGATGAAATATCTAAATGCAATAATGAATATTGAAATCGTAAAATAAATAAATAAATTACTTTTTATCTCCAAATGGGCTTATTCCACTTTCAAAAATAACGGGTCATTTGTAAAGATGCGTATTTTACAATTAGCCTATAACATTTCTTACACTATTTAAAATAAAACGATTGTATGAAAAGTTTAAAGTGATTGTGTTTAAATATGTTTCATTTTTTTTGCAAGATTTACTTTGTTTTTAGACATCTTAAACCTTTATAGATTTTTAAACATCTTTCAACGGGAGTTCTACAATAGCATCAAAAATGTTTTACATGGTAGAGCAGTTTATCTGCTGACAAGCGTGTGACACCAATTTTTTCATAGAACCCCGACTCAAAGCTATTTATAACTACTTTGAACTTGATTCCTCAATATACGGATTCGCTATAGTTTTCTGTCTTTTCATAAAATCTTTGCATGATTTCACTTCTTTACATTATTGGTGACATATTATTGTTATCCTAGTTTTAAAAAAAGTTTTTTTTTAGTTGCTTAGTATATGATGCAAACGCATCTATAAAAACAGCTTAGAAACTCACGAAAAAACATCAGTTGGCGTCGTCAGAAAATTGCGTACATTTTTCACTTGGATATTTAAATAGTCTAAATGGATTTAAAAGTATGTATATTTTATGATAATCTATGTATGAAAATTTTTGTTAAGGGAAACTAAAACATACGTGAGAGCGAATATTTTTTACCACAAGAAATTGTGTTTCTTTTTACTAGTAAACTTATATTAAAATATTTTCAATATTGTTCTTATAAAACGTACATAAATTTTCCTTTTAGTCTTATTTCAAATGTTATACATTTATTTTTATGAATGCTTTTAAATGTAATGTTTATCTGGATTAAATATCTTATTATATTTGCTTAAGAATATTTTTGGACAAAGAGAAATCAACATGATTATATGTTTGAAATCAAGAAAAGTATTTTGCTTCAGGATGTATAAATAATATATTGGATAAAGATAAAATAAGTAGGACATTTCTGAAAAGTTTAAGAAAATTCATAATTTTTTACACAGACTTTAATTAGTTTATAAAAACGTATAAAATGTATATACCAAAAAACAAACTTTGAATTTTTAAATAAATCGAATTTTATATGAGTGTATTGAATGCTGTACACAAGTATTGATATTTTAAAATATTCTTAAAAAGATAACCCCTTAACATTTGAAATATAATTTGACATTCATTGAATAACTCTAATATATACTTCTTATAAATGTAATATTGAAATATATTTTACTTGTGAAAAAAAAAAACATTTTCTTGAGGAAAATTTTTTTATTATTTGTTTTTATTTATTTATTTATTTATTTTGCTCTTGAAATGTGTTTTATTTCCCTCAAAGATAAAATGTATTAAATTATTTTTCAAACTTATAACTTTTGAATATTTAATATTGTGATATGTGTTATTTTTTATACTATGGAACAAAAATTGTGTGTAATTAATTATTGGGTAATTAAGTTTTGATTTAAAGATAATGAAATTTAAGTACCTCTTTCTTTCTGTTTTAGCTCAAAATATTATAATTGGCAACTAAATTAGTATCTTGTCATGTGAGAAACAGTCTCATTTACGTTTAAAAATTATTCGTTACCAAAGAATTCAATCTTTTTTTTAAGACTATTATGGTAAAGTGGAAAACAAAAAAGAAGAAAAAAACGGCCTTATTGCATAGTAAGATCATCGCACTAAACATACTAAACTATAGTAAATTTTTAAAAAACTAAACTTTATTACTAAACAAAGACCATCATAGATTGGTATGAGGAATATCAGGACGATATACAAGAAGGTTGAATGATGTAAAAATGTCTTACTCCAAATTAAAAACTATACTTATTATTATGAACGCTATAGTATTATTGAAATTAATGTTGAATCTTTTTCTATCTTTAAAAACTAATGAAATAAGTTTATCATTCACAAATATATTAATAACAAAACTTATGAAAGAAAACAGTTTTGTTTGTTTGTGTGGAAGTTTCATTTTGTATACGTTTTTAAACTTCCATACTGTATTTCAATTTTTCATCATAGTGATAATGCAATTTGTCTCTAAGTAATAAAATAGTTAGTTTCATCCAATCATAAGGATTACTTTTTCGTTAACAGTTATTTTTTGCCTAAGCTAAGTTCAACTTAAATATATGCAGTTATGTTTTACTATGATAGAGCAGATAGTTTCTTACGCTTGTAAGAATTACTTTCTCATTATCTACTATACTTGGTCTTGGATTAAAAATAAGAAAAAATTTTCACGTTTCTGAAGACTAAAAATCCTTTTAGGGAGAAAAAATTGCTCTTTTTCACAATTTACAACTTTTCTCACTCACCCTTTAAATTTTATGATCACCCAATTAATTTCTTAAAATACAGAACATTTTTTGTTTTTTTTTATTTGTAGGTAGTTACAGTAACTATCCTTACATTGATGGATTTAGCCTTTTGTGGTTTCATTGGAGGAGGAAATGATGGGGGAGGACTATTTGATGGATTACAAGGAGGCTTTGGTGGAGGTGGCCATGGTGGTGGATTTGGTGGAGGAGGACATGGTGGAGGAGGACATGGTGGAGGATTAGCAATTGTTGTTCCTGTAGAAAGTGTAAAAGTGCTAGGGAATGGAGGAATAGGAGGTGGTAAAGGAGACTTTGGAGGATTTGATGGTTGGAATATTGGTGGTTGGAATATTGGTGGTGGAGGAGGTGGTTGGAATACTGGAGGTGGGTTAGGAGGATACAGGATCAAAGGTCACATTCAAAATATTGGTGGAGGTACTGGAGGAAAAGGAGGCTTTGGTGGATTTGGAAACCATGGTGGAGGCTTTGGAAACCTCGGTGGAAAAGGAGGATTTGGAAATTTTGGCGGTAAAGGAGGTTTTGGAGGAGGATTTGGTGGAGGATTTCAACTGAGGCCAGGTTTTGGAAATAATAAAGGGAGTGCATGGAGATAGAAATATGTAAGTTCAGATCATTCTCTCTTATTTTAAAAATTATGATAATTTTCAATAAATATTCAGAGTCCATATATTAGAAGGTTTGGTCTTGTAAAGGAAAATTTAAAAGAAAATTTTTTCGCTGTTTCTACTCTTACAAGGAAATCTACTATGTTTAAATTTCTAAAAGACACAATTCCTAAACTATTTTCTATTGCCATGTTACAAAGCTAAAAAAAGTTTTGAAGCAATTTTTTTTAGTTCGTGTCAGAAGAATATTTTTTAACTTACATAAAATTTCGTTCAGTTTATTCTCTATGTTACGAATCATTCCATTTTCCGGTACATCAATTTGCTATAAAACATAAACAAATCGTGACAAAGTATTTCTATGATACCACAAAGTAAGTAAAAAAAATTAAAACTCTGGAATAAGTGGTTTATACAAAGTACAAGTCAATCAACATAGTCTATCAAAAAGTAAGAGCGTTAACTTCTCTTTAGTTTTAAATTTTGAATGTCTTAAAAAAATTCCTCAAAAGTAATTCCATTTAAATGCTTACAGAAATGTTTTATTTTGAAACAATATAAATAACTTAAAGCAATATGTAGGTTATTTTTTTTAAAAATTATAAATTGTCAGACTTTTAAAAATTTTTTAGTTACGAATCTTAACAAAAAGCCAAATGTTTAAAAGATTTGAAGATTGATGACATTTTAAAAACTTTAAGTGTGGCCTTTACTGATTTATTATTTATCTTTGACTGTACTAAATTATTATATTTTTTATTATATAATTACTTGAGACATAATTTCTTATTATATTAAATAGAAACAGCACAATTATTATGTCAAATAGCTACAACATGGATTACACTTATTATAACTGTTTTGTTACAAAAAAAAACGGTAACTAATTTTAAATAATTTAATAAAACAAAAAATGAATTAAGCATAGGACAGGCACACAAATATTACATTAAAACTTTATAAAAATTACTTTTAAGGATGAAAAAGAACACTTAACTTTTAGAAAACTTAGCTAGAGGAACATAACAGTTCAGAGACAGGAGATATGGTGACATTGTTCGGGTTTCCAGATTGCTTCTGCTAAGTTTTTTTTAATCTTTTTTATTGCTGATGGTGTTCTATAAATACTTCTGTTGCAATATTTTATTAAAACTCAAATTATAGATTAAACCTTAAGAAAAATTACTTTTAAATGATAAAAAAGAACACTTAACTCTTAGAAAACTTAGCTAGGGGAACATGTCAGTTCAGAGATAGGCGATAGAAAGGTGAATTTGTTTGGGTTTCCAGTTGGCTTTAGATAAGTTTTACGATATTTTTCTTGCAGATAGCATTCTATAAATACTTCTGTTGCAATATGATATTGCAATAATTCTTAACATATTTTTTATTATATATATGTGCTTATAATTGATTTGTTTGTAATGTAACTACATATATTTTTTTTTCTTTCAGTGTCAAATTAAACATTCTAAAAAATCTCATAAATTAGCAGCTATTATTTATGACGTTTAAAATGACAAGATTCGAAGATCGACTGACTCAAGAAATTATTATTTTTTTAACAAAAAATTGTTTCCTTGTGATCTGTTAAGTTAAAAATCTACTTTAAACGTTCATTTTACTTTTCTTAGAGAATGTCTCCTGTTTATATACATATATATTTTTGTGCAAGGAACTAGTCTTAAGAAACAATAAAATCAAATCTAACAAGCAGTGTTATTTTTATGAAAATATGTTAGCATTTATTTTGTTTCATATGTATATTATTTTTTTATATATATATTTTTATATATATTATTTATATATATANCACGAAGAAAATTAGGAAAAACAATAAGTTTCATTTATTGCGCATAATCTGCAAGTAAACAGAACTCATTAGATAAGTTCAAAATGAAGATAAAACAAAGAAAAATTACAGACATATGAAAAAAAAAGGGGGGAAGGAAAAATATTAATAAAAAAATAACAAACAACTGGGGAAAAAAAGGACAAAAATGTTTTAACAAAATCCGGAAAATAAGAGATATAATCTTTTAATCAGCCCACACGATTATATCAGCAAAAAAGAGTGCGTTCTGATACTGTATCAATACAGCCAAAGCAAATTGTATTAATACAATAGTGTGAGGAGCACTCAATATATATATATACATATACAGTAATTTGCAAGTTCAAATTCTCTGTAATGATCGAATTTGATTTGCAAAATAGTACAATTGATTTGCAAAAAAAAATTAATTTAATTAGCAAGATGTTCGGAGGGCAATATCTGAAATATGCTGGCAGATTGTAATTGCTATTATAAAAAAATTTCATAATAATTACAAGATACCTTTCATTTGATTGAAATTTATTAATCTTTGATTTCTTAAGTAATATGACATTATTAACGCGAACAGAACGGGAAAAAAAACTAAAAAAGATACCATCTATAACCTTAATGATATCCGATTAAGTTAATAAGAAACTCAGCAAATTCCTTCAGATGAAATCTACGTGAGAAAAGAAATCATCGTTTAAATTGCGTGATTCATAATTTTACACGCATTCATGCATTTGCTTAAAATATGATTTTTTTTTCTTCATGAAATTGTGGCTTTAATTATTCATCGCGTACAAAGAACGGCTATTTATTTTCAAGACTGATGTAATTACTCCTGAAAATATTAAATGAAATATATTATATATCCTTTTAATATGTTTCGAAGTGGCATCAATACGCTTTTTTAGTTAGCTTGAAGATTCAGAAACAGCTTATAAAGTCTTTCGGCTTCGGAATCCAACTCAATATGTTTCGATTTTGAGTAAGGAATACATTTTTTTTCTTGATTAGAATTTTTCCTGATATTTATCGAATTTAAATGCTACAAATAGATAAATTTACAACTGAAAATATTGAAACTTAGTTAAAGCTTATAGAAGAAGTAAGATATAAAAATTTATTTAAAACATTTCAATAAATATTTTCAAATTTTCCGCTTCCTATTTTTAACTTCAAGTTAGGTATACATTTTTTTACATTTATAACACATTCCGATAACTCAATACGTTACAATATCGAGTTAGGTAAACGTTCTTTTCTATGCTTAGATTATTTATTTCCGCAGATTTCAAATTTTATGACTTGATAACTCTACAACTAACATTGTTGAAACTTACAGGTAGAAAGTAGAAAAATACGCATAAAATGTTTTTAAAACCATTCTAATAAATGTTTTCAAATTTTCCGTTTTATATTTCTAATTTCAAGTTTGATATATATTTTTTTATATTCATAATACATTCCGATAACTGAATATGTTTCGATATTGAGTTAGGAAAACATTATTTTCTATGATTAGATTATCTATATTTATAGATTTCAAATTTTATGACTTGATAACTCTACATCCAACATTGTTGAAACTTACGCATTGAAAGTCGAAAAATATGCATAAAAGTTTATTTAAAACATTTTAAAAAATGTTTTCAAATTTTCCGTTTTATGTATTATTTCCAATTTCATGTTAGGCACATATTTTTTTTAACATTCATAACACATTCCGATAACTCAATGTGTTTTTATATCGAGTTAGGAAAACATTCTCTTCCATTAGATTATTTATATTTATAGATTTCAAATTTTATGACTAGATAACTTTACAACCAAATTGTTGAAACTTGCGGATAGAAAGTCGAAAAATACGCATAAAAATTTATTTGAACCATTTTAATAAACGTTTTCAATTTATGTATTTTATAGTTATTTTGTTATATCCAACGATTGCCCACTAGAGTCAAAAACTCGATCTATTTCCCTTATTACTTTTCAGTAACACGTCTAGATTACTGAACCGTGTCTGTTACCTCTTACTTTCAATAGGTAACAAAGGAAGTAGAGCAAAAAACAAAAAATGAAGACATTGAGAAAAGAGATAGATTCATTTTGCTGAATCAAGTATCTAATCACTTTGTTTACTTGGCTGAACAATACAAATAGTTTATACATTAAGAAAAATTACGAATGAATATAATGAAATTGTTATTATGAAATACGTTTGTTCTTTTCAAGATCAATCTAAAGTTGTATGTCATGTCAATTATGGTTTATTTGGGTTATTCCATGTTATTCTACACTTAAAAATTTTCATGAAATTTGGTTCATGTTTTCCACGACCATTAAAACTAATTCTAAGAGTCTCATAGCGATAATAAAAAAAAAGGAAATGTTAGTGGCAAATAAAATTTATAAATAAGCACACAAGAGAAATTTTCAAAATAAAAATAAAGTTTCGTAAGAACTTCATTGCAATCGAGTAAGTTTTGCTATTAAAATGCCAACTAGGTTATACGCGTCTATTTAGGAGTTTGGAATGAAATTTTATGATTAAAATGCATGCGATAAAATTTTACTTTTGAAGTCATTGAAAGTTCTGTGTAAAAACATAATGGAAATATCACTTGTTTTTTAGGCTTCCTACATACTGAATATTTAAGGGAAAAAAAGGCATTTTCGACGTAAAATAATTTAAGCGTAACTTTTTAATGTTAAGTGGCAATTTTTCAATACTTTTATGTTAAATACCTCTGAAATTATCTGAAAAATTCTTAAGATATGCCTGCCCTAAAAACTTTTGGTTCATTTGAAATGGGAATAAAAAGGCAAAAATAATATATGTATACACTACCCTACAGTAACGGAAGAGACACTTACAGTTTATGAAACTTTTTTAAATTTCTTAAGAAATACTTAAAGGTTTATTTTATAACTTTAGAGTTAATTAGTTCATGCATTTTTTCATACTTGGAAATAAAGTTGAAAACATTCATAGGTTTCAGAGATCGACAATGAACTACAAAAGAAAGCAAATATTTTTGAACACCCTATGCCAGAAAATTAAGCAATAAGCTTGTAACTTATACCAATTATTTTGGTTGTTATTTTTAACAATTGCATAAAATTTCATAGACCTTGCTTCAATATTTATGGGGATAATGACATTTTTATAAAAAAACTAATTTTTTTTGTCTTACGTTTTTTTGCCATAACTTTAGAAATATTCAATACAATTAAACAAAATTTTCAGAGCAATTAAACAATAACTACAAAACTATTGTTTTAAAATTTGAAAAAAATTCGCTAAAAATTGCGCAAGATATGACTATTTATTAGTTGTTTTATATTGCGCAAGAGCGGAAAAAAATTTAAAAATCTATTCTGTAAATTTGTTGTGAATCGTATTTGGCAACTAAGGAAAAAAATCTGAACAATCTAATAAATTTAAAGTGCTTCAAGCAATTTTATAGGCAGTTTTCGCACTTTTAAAAGAAAGCTCATGATAAAGGGTTTTTCGCAAATTTAATTTTGTACAATTAAATAAGATTTATTAAAAATGACACCAGCATTGTGGGAGATCATTCCCCATGAAAGAACGTTTTCTTTTGCCTGTTTTCTTTCCTCATATCATCACAGTTTGGTGTCCAGACAATTTTTGTAAGGTATTATTATTTGTTATTAAATTTTGTCTTATGGTACAAAATTAAATTTGTGGAAAAATCCTTTTCATTTTGAGCTTTTTTTAAAGAAGAGGAAAAACTACTTTGAAAATTGCTTGAAACTCATTAAATGTTATAAGAGATTCAAATCAGATTTTTTTCATTAGTTGCCAAATACGATTCACTTCAAAATTAAGAAGAAGAAATTTTTTTCTTTTTATTTTTCCGTGCATGGGCAGTTCAAAATAACAACTTTAAATAGTCATATATTGCGCAGTTTTTAGCGAATATTTTTTCTTCAAATTTTGAAAGAATAATTTTGTAATTAATTTTTAATTGCTCCAAAAATTTCGTTTAATTCCAATAAATGTATTTAAAGTAAGCAGAAAAACGTAAGACAAAAAAAATTAATTTTTAGAAAAATGTTCATTACTCCATGAATATTTAAGTTTGGTTTATGAAATTTCAAGTAGTTTCTGCAAATAACTGCCAAAGCAATCGGTGCAAATTACAAGGTTATTGCTTGATTTTCTGGCATAGGGTGTTTAAAAATACTTCCTTCGTAATGTATTGTATGTCCCTGAAACCCTTAAAAGTTTTTAAACTTTATTGTTAAGTGTGAAAAGTCACAACTAATTACTTATAAAGCCACAAAATAATCTTCAAAATATTTCTTGAGAAACGTAAAAAATTGTTAAAAACAGAAAGTGTCGCTTCCATGATTGTAGGGTAGTGTTTATATAACATACTCGATTGTATGTAAACACAATTGTGTATTTATAATATTAATATATTTGTAATATTAATATATTTATAATATTAATATATTTATAATATTAATATATTTATAATATTAATACATTTATAAATATATAATTACGTTTTCCCAAGAAAGAATAGTTTTACAAATTTCTTTGCTAAAATGAATCAATATTATGCTGAATAAAAATTACTTATTAAAAATTAATTAATCGAAAATTTAACAAACTTAGCCATTTTTTTTAAACTTACGAAAATTTAATATGGATTTGAACAAAAAGGTTATTTTATATACCAAATATATAGCAGTTAATGATATTTAAAAGAAACGATATATGAAAATAATCTATG